GGGGGTAGAGAGTGGAGGGGAGAGGTGGTGGTGCTGGGCCCTTGTCGCTGTTCTGTGTTGGTGTGCCATCGGGTGGGGGTGGACACTGGTGATTTTTTGTGGGCGCATGTTGTGTTTCACGTGTGGCGGGGGTGGGCACTCATTGTTTTTTGTGGGTGTTCGTGGTTTTTCGTGTGTGGTGGGGGTGGGTGCTTGTGTGGACGTGTCATTGTGTTGTGTTGTTGTCATGTCGTGGTGTGTCATGTCATCATCCTGGCATGTTGTTGACACATCATTGTCATGTCAGTGGGTGGTGGTGGGCGCTCATCGTTTTTCAACATTTTTCATGGGTGCTTGTTGCCATTTGTGGGTGCTCGTCATCGTTTGTGTGTGGTGGGGGGTGGGTTCTCATCGTGGTTCATTGACAGTGGTGGTGTTATGGTACTGCTCATACCATGACATTCACATGTACTTTGAGCCTAGCCTGTGTCCTCTACTTCTGACATCTTGTTAGTATTGACTTCAATGAGTGTAATGTTTGGCAAGCAAGGTGCAACCAAACAACTTTGATCCTTGACTCATGTGCAAGTCATACTGACTCATTGGCAATGGTACATTGTAGAATAGTGTAGAATATTGCATATGTATAAATACTGCCCCTCTGAGTGCATGAGAGGCATCTCTTAACTTTACCCACTTAACCTCTCATACATGAGAACTGCTGTAAGCACTAGGGCTGCACACCATACCTGTCTTAGATGGTTGGAAAGGACATATAGATGGGTGCTTTACCTATCACCATTTCAGTTTAGAGATGAGATCTGACGGGACGGATAGCACCCGTCTATTCCCATCACCTGGACGGCTGTCTGAATGGTACAGACGGTGATGCTGTGGGAATTTTTTGAACTTCTTGCTACCACGCCATCAACAATGATGCTGATGTTGACAGTGTCGTCTCCCACTGCCCTCCATCGAGCTAGGCGAATCACCATCCTATCCTTTCACCTACCACTAGCTTGCAGCCCATTCAGACAACGAAAACTTTCTTATGGCGGCCCTGTTTCACATATTTCATTTTACCCCTCAGTGTGCGTCATTTCACGGCTTCAATGATCATGCTCCAATCTTTGAAATTAGTCTCCAGGGGTATGAATCCCAGAAAATCAAATCAAATCCACGAAGTACAAATGCATACACCGCCTTGTACAGTTTGACTCCATCCCCCAGCATATTATCTTGCTGTTATTCCCCCGCATGCTCAAGCCTATATTTAATCCTGTACCAGATTTCAATGTTTCAATGTCAGCAGATCATGTTGAATGTGAAAGTATGTGTTCATGCGATGCTGATTATTGTCTGACAACTTTTGCAGGACATAATGTGCGTCCAAGTCGTACAGTCGACAAAACCCGCATAGCTGCAGCCATTGACTCCAAACTTCGGGACAAAGATGGCGATCCGATACCTGAAAAACAACAGCGTGCTCCCCAGGCACGCAAGGCAGTGCCAAAGTGCAAGAGAAACGACGCTTGCGACGAGGAATCAGACCCAGATGATGGTGACTTCGCCGTGTCGGGCGAAGGCTCTGAAGACTCTACAAGTGATGATGAACCAGTCATTATCAGCAACATAGAGGTATGTTTACATGTATTAAATCAGCACACTCTTCTTTGACTTGAAGAATTAGGTGGCAGATATGCTGCCCTCCAAGACGATCCCAGAGGCCAGTGGGCATAAATCATGCACGAAGGCAAAAGGCAAGCAAGCTGCATCACGCCCTTCGAAGAAAAAGGCGAGACGTGCCCCTGTCAAGATAGAGGAAGTCAAGGATGAGGACAGCACAAGGAATATTGCAGCAAGGAAGGCGCCTGTCACCGAAGCAGCGGTGGGTCATCAAGACAAGTGCAAGGTGTGTTGTTTCCATTGTCATCGCAAGTATGAATTTGACAAGTTCAAAGACAGGCAAGGGTGTAAAAAAAAACCCAATCTATTGGTTTTTCAAAGTCGTTTCCAGCAACGCAGAAGGTTCGGTGGGAAACCCAGGGGATAAGCATTACTGGTGCTACCACAGTTCACACAAGATCATCATGATCACAAAGGGCATGAACAGTAATCTAAATCGTGAGTATTGATATTCCTTCCACATTATAATTTATGGTAGACGTCGTGTATAATTCTCTTTTTTTTCCCCACATCTTATCAACCACCTTCGTGTTTATGTTAAGCCAATGTACAATCTCTGGGAGATACTCAATGGTTGGGATGAGCCCCCAACGTCTGAGGAAGTCAATATTGCATGTGGAAAAACACAATTGGATGGTAAGACTGAGGCGGAATATCTCAAGAAACTTCAAGATAAATCAGGGAATATCAAGAAAGCCTTTGAAGATCAGAAGGCGCGTGCAGCGGTCATAACTTTTTCTTTTATCATTTGCTCTCAATTGACATGAGCTTACAGGGTCTGTGGGATCAAGATAAATTTGAATGGCTCCTCACCGAGTGGGTTGTTGCATGCGACCAGCCATTTGATGAGGTAGAAAAGCCCAAGTTTATTAATTTAATGGAGTATACACATCGTTCTGGGGAGTCTCTAAAACTCATAAAACATGATGGCATCAAACGTCGCATTATGAAAATGGGAGATGAAACGATTGAGGGGGTCTGTGACATGTTTTCGGTTTGACTTTTTTATCCCAGATCTTCGAAATTGCTGACCAGTTTTCACAATCAGGAACTCGACAGGAAAATATCACTCTCACTTGATGCATGGACCTCCAGTAACCAACATGCATTTTTGGCCATCGTCGCACATTATGTCACAAAAGACGGACAGCTAGGTTCGTCATTAAATTCTTTTTCCTTCTTCTAGTACTAATTTTTCGTGTCCTGGAGGAACTCCTTATTGATTTCCGTGAACTAGTTGGTGAACACCCAGGTGAGAATATGGCAGAAGCCATCTGGCAAACCATGGTATTGTATGGTTTAGTCAGGAAGGTATGTGTCATGTTTCTATATCAAAATGAGGTACTATATGCGATAAATAACAGGTTATTGCAATTGTTATGGACAACACAAGCAATAATGACACACTCATGGTGTCTTTGGAGAAACAGCATCAGAAAAAGGTGTTAGGTTTTTGGCACGGGAGGCTCACATGCGCTGTATGCCACATACTGTCCATTTCACAAGTACTCACAAGTCACATTATAGACTAATGGTACTCCACATGGTCAATTGTACTATGGACCATAGGGCCACCCCAATGGGCCCAATACAAAAGTACATTATTGAATGTAGGTGGGCCCAATACATGCTTTTACATCTAGTTGGGATAGTGTGGCCCAATTGTGAACAGTATATATCTATGTAAAGGCATATCCTAATGGTCAAGGTTGGGCCAAATTGCTAAGTAATGTAACATTGTATGTTGGGCCGAAGGATTTTTCATTGGTCCCTGTTACCATGCAGGAATATGCAAGGTTAGGGTTACCCTCTGATGTATGATGATTTGGGTAGTGTTTAAAGGTTCAGTTCAGTCCGGTTTTTTGCCCCGAAAACATGCAACTGTGGACCGCAACCGGTCCAGGACCGACCCAGATATTGAGGGAACCAAACCAAACCACATAGGACCGGTCTTTTGCGGTCCATGATACCGGTTCAGACCGATCCAGACCGGTTTTTTTGCATATAATTTATTATACCTAGTGTTTAAAGGTTCAGTCCATAGGACCGCAAAAAACCGGTGGACCGAACTGAACCGGACCATGGTCCAGTCTTTTTTTTGGTTGCAGTTGCCCCAATTTGGGGTTGGTCCAGTTGCCGGTTGCCTCATTTCGAAAATCTTTTAAAACCGTTCAAAGACCGGTTTTGATCGGTTGCAACTGGTTAAACGGTCACGTGCGTTACATACCCTTGTAACCATGTTTATTACATTTTATTGGGTTTTTGTTTCATCAAAAACGGTTAAGAATTGAGAAAGATATAACCAAATCCATATTTTACCCAAGTCTCTAGGAGATGTAATTCGGTTTCAGTCATAGCTATGTCAAATCTTCATTACATCTCTTAAAAATTGGTGGAATGACGGGTATTTACATGCTTTACTATTTTATAGAACCCGTTTATTTTTCAGAGTAATAATAGTTGAGATACAAATGGTTTATATTGGTATAATAAATTATACGCAAAAAAACCGGTCTGGATCGGTCTGAACCGGCTCCATAGACCGCAAAAGACTGGTCCTAGGTGGTTCGGTTCGGTTCCCTCAATATCCGGGTCGGTCCTAGACCGGTTGCGGTCCACGGTTGCGCGTTTTGGGGGCAAAAAACCGGACTGAACTGAACTTGCGAACAAACTTCAGATTGCTGTGATGATTTCGGCCAAGTTCAATGCTGGCAGATGCATGAATATGCAAAGTCAGTATTATACTCTGATGCTTTTACATTTGTGAAATATGTGTGGGTTTACTGCCAGCATTGTGGTATGGCCATGTGGAGATATGAAGGTCAGTATTACCCTCTGATGTTTTGAAATTTATGATCTCAGCTGGGTTCACTGCTGTTGTTATACACCGCCAACTGATGGCCAGATCTCTTCCAGGTTTGGCAGAATGGTGATAGTCACACGATCAGGGGACATGGTGACAGATGGCAGTGATGTCACAGAGGCGTGGGGCAATTTACCCTGTGGGAACATGGCCCTCAGGTTATCGCTATGGTGAACGACGCACCTCGGAACCAGCTGTGGGCTGATAACAGGTATCTTCCACAGGTGTTGAAAAGCTGTGGCCAAGATCCTCCACAGGTAAACTCATCAGGTATGTACAAGTTGTTCACTATCTATGCCATTTTTTCATTGATTTGATATCAGGCATCGTTGCAAGTACTGCTAGGCTACCCTCAAACTGCCTAACCCCCAAGCTTCTGAGCATTGTCACCGTGAGCCAGAAGACCGTGGCCAGTGACGGTGTCATCTCACTTCCTCTTTTTGGCTGCGGCTGTTGGGGTATATGGGATCAGAGCAATGAGTTCCCTTGGAAGGACAGCTCGAACAAGGTGCGCATTATGAAACCTGTGTGTGTTGACCAGATACTCATCAAGTGTTTTGTGTAAAATAAAATCTTCTTGTTTTTCGATTTCAATATGTTCCTGGACAACTGGCTGCCTCCCAGATGCTGTACAGTGTGCCTTCTGGCAGTCATGCTGCACATTGTACTCGAAAAGGAGATTCTAGAGCGAGGCACTTCAGTCACCCATTTTAGGGTACCTATGAGGCACATCAATTCCTTGATTTAGGGTACCTTGAGGGTACCCATTCCGGGGTGGTATATGAGCTTGATACCAATACCATGGTACCATGGAATGGAAAACCCATACCATATCCCACTCATACCAATACCATGTTACCATACCATACCATGTCATCTCATACCATACCATCATACCAAAGCTGACAAAGGGTGTCTGGGGTCCTTTTTCAAAATATATAAATTATTTCTGCAGGCTGCAATACTGGTCCATTGGGTGCCATTTTTTGTGGAAGGGTTCCTCAGGTTTTTGCTGAGATATTAAGCTACAAAAGGAGGCAATATAGTAAACTTAATCCTGTGAAAATCAGTTCAATTGAGCTTGATCCCAGATTTTGGCATGCATAATACTGCATCCATTGTGGTGATGTGGCATTTGAGAAGCAAATAAAACAAGAAATTGTGTGTATTATCTATCAGTCCTGAACACTACATAATACCGTCCATTTCAAATGCATGGACTTGAGCTAGATTATTATCCAACAGGTTGGACTAGAATATGCACTTCGATAATCAACTACATTAAGTACCACTCCACATACAATTAATTTTAAAAGCATGCAATTTGGTGTGCAACTTGACCACCAGCTAAGCATGAATGGCTCAATGAAAACTTGATACATTTTCAAGGTCTTCTTCCAATAATTTAGATCTACTTCCTATCAATGGAGACTTCAAGAACATAAAATCTGATCACCTCGCTTTAGCTAGGTCTCCCAGCTTCATATTTCTAAGCAAATGTTGAGACCAAACATGTCACTCTTCTGCAAACATGGTGCAAATAATACAGCTTCCTGGATGTCATATTTTTCAAGATTGGAACAAACATCTCACTCTTCCACAAACATGGCACAAATGATAGGATGTTACGGAGGTCATATTGTTCATATTGGACCAAACACTCCACTCTTCTGCAAACATGGTCTAAACACCCTACCCCCTGCTGCTGCGAGGAGTTGCCAGGCGACAAGCAGCAGCCTTTTGACAAGCTATGAAGGAACAAAAAAATAAAAGGAAAAGATTCTGATCACTTAAGATAAACAGTGGGTGATGGGAACAGCCGAAATGTAGGACAATTTCAATTAATGCATTTTGTAAGTTTTTTGTTGGGTGAAGCTGAGGGTGTACTAAGAACCCTTACTAATGTATTTAAAATACAGAAGCAAGGTGTTTGTTGACAAAGTCAACCTCTAGTTAATAATTGTGCTCTATATAGACCAAACAAAAGAGAATCAGCTAAAAAATGCAAGAACACTAATACCATATGTTATGGTATCCACAGCATACCATACCATACCATACATACCATACATACCATACCATACCTGTCATACCATACCATGGTCATACCATGCCATACTGTCATACCATACCATGGTCATACCATGCCATACCAGTCATACCATACCATGGTCATACCATGCCATACCAGTCATACCATACCATGGTCATACCATGCCATACTGTCATACCATGCCATACTGTCATACCATACCATGGTCATACCATATACCAACCATAGTTATACCATACCATTATCATACCATCATCATACCATGGTCATACCATAGCTTTGCAGGATTTCTACTAAGTTAGTTCAGCTGTGCCAGATGACAACTTATTCCTGTGAGTTCCTTACATCATTCCACTCTGACCAAATCAATTTGGTGTGTATTTGATAGCTACATAAAGTTATTTACTACAAATGTTTCAAAGGGAATAGGGAGGTAGAAGGGATGGGGGATGTTAAAGGGAAGGAAGAGATGTTGAAAGGAAGTGGGAATGTTAAAGAGAATGGGGTGTAGGGAACATGTTGATGGGAAGGGGGATGTTGATGGGAAAGGGGATGTTGAAGAGAGGGATGTTGAGGGGAAAGGGTATGTTAAGGGGAAGGGGTAAAGAAGGGGGGATGTTATGAGGGGAAGGGGTATGTTGAGGGGAAGGGGTATTCATCGTTGTGTGTGTTGTGTTGTTGTTGTGTGCATTGTGTCGTCGTTGTGTGCATTGTGTCGTCGTTGCGTGCATCGTGTCATCGTCATCATCGCCGTCATCGTCATCGTCGCCTGTCTGTACCATGTGTTGATGTCATGTCGTTGTCGTTGTCGTCGTGTGTCGTCATCATGCTGGTGTTGCATGTCCTGGGCACATTCCATGTTGTCTGGTGCTGTGTCTGGGCTGGGTGAGTAGTGGTGAGCCTCGTCGCCATCCATGGGTCATGGTGCCGTGTGTGGCGTGCATTGTCATCATGTTGGTGTCGCGTGTACTGGTCGCATGGTCATTCCGCATCTGTCGTCGTCCCATGTCCTGTCTGTCAGTGAGGTGGGCTGGGAAGAAGGTGGGATGGGGGTGCTTACCATGGTGTTCTAGAACAAACAGGTATGACAAACAACGAATTGAAATTCGTCGTTTGTCGTTTGGTTGCCATGTCACTGTCGGTGACGTGGCACCTGGCTTCTGTGTTACAGATGTGAGTGGGTGAGGTTGAGGTGAGTTGCTCACCTCGGCTCGTCGTCACCTGTGTCCGTTCATAGGCCTCGTGCCGTTCGTCGGTGATGGGTCGTGGGCACTTGTCGCCGTTTGTTGACAGCGTTGATGGGCATTCATTGACAGGGTGCTGGGCCCTCATTTCCATCCGACGGTGGTGCTGGGCATTTGTTCATGGTGGTGGCTGGCGGCGTGGTTGGTATGTTTGCTGATGGTGGTGGTTGGCGTCTGGTTGGCGTCATGGTTTGTATTTGGCGTGTGGTGGTCGTCGTGGGTTGAAGAGAGAAGCCACGTCACACATTGTGACATTGGCATAACATTGAGAAGTGCACATGAAAGACCATCATAGTGTTTGGAAGTCCGGTCTCATGACTGGAAAAAGACCGTAACCAGACTGGACCAAGACCGCAAAAGACCGGACCTGCGGTTATGGTCTTTTATTTTTGAGATGTAAAGACCGCAAAGAAACCGGTTAACGTGAACCGGTCTTGACCGGTTCAAACTTAAATACCCTTTAAAACGCACCCAAGAACGTACGATTTGGTAAAGAAACGAGAGAGATATGAATTAAAATGTAAATTACTTTTGGGAATAATAGATGTACCAGACTTATTTTATACAAGCACCAATTCCTAACGGAATTTAACGTCCTTGGGCTCGTTTTGAAGCTAATAGAGATGTTAATAAATTTACCGATTCATAATTTTAAAATATTAGCCTAAAGACCGGTCATAAACCGGTTAAATCCGATGCAGACCGAAACCAGTCTATAGACCACAAAAAACCGCGGTCTGCGGTCTTTTTGTGGTCCGGTCTGGTCTTTTGACTTCTGGGGAAAAGGCAGACTGGTTATGGTTACGGTTAATGCTCCTGGGCATCAAAAAACCAGACCGAACCGGACTTTCAAACACTAGACCATCATGCCTGGACTTTTGGCTGTAGCCTCTTATTTGTCTGTGTTGAAAACCACTTGTAATAACAAATCATCATCTGTTCTCCATCCATCTTGTTTTTGATGGGGGAATCTCTGAAATGCATACTTAAACATTACAGTAACTACAATATATATCTAGTGTGTGTTATATTACACTATGGAAGACAGAAAAACTCAAAATGAACTGCAGATGCTCATTTCGGAGTTTGTTTACATATATTTACCAATAGCTTCCACACAAGCAAGACTACAAAAAAATTGTAGTCTCCTCTTTTTTCTGTTAGAAAACTTTGTAGTCTCCGCTTTCTGACACTACAAATTTTATAGTCTCTGCTTTTTTCTTTAGAAAAGTTTGTAGTTTCTGTTTTTTTTTACTAGAAAGGTTTTGTAGTCTCCGCTTTTCCTATTAGAAAAGTTTGTAGTCTTTGCTCTTTTTGATGGAAAAGTCTAGTGTTAGCTTTCAAAGACTACAAAATTTGCAGTCTCTGCTTTTCTGATATTTTGTAGTGTTCTTGGCTTTATCTATGTAAATGGTATATGGTTGGCTTTGAACAAACAGCCCTCCATCCTTCAGTCTTAGTACAGTTGAGGCTGACCACAGGAGAGGGTTACATAGTGACTACTGATCATGATATGGAAAGACAGGACAGGCAAGCAGAGAATGATAGTCAAGACTGACTATGGGAAAGGGTTACATACTGACAATTGATCATGAAGATCAGATATATAGCCTACAGTGAGATGTCAAAGAATGCAAACCCTTCAATGTCATGCCCAAGTTATGTTTCACATCAGTGGTGTCCTGTCTTTCCATTTGGCAGCCCCAGCCATTCTCTGGTCATATCTAGGCACTGATCTATGTCTGCCAACCATATTCAACCTTGACATGATCTCTGCACACATCAGCAAAACAACAATAACATTGGTTCACTTTGTAGTCTTTGTAAGGTTCGCAAAACCTTACGAGGTTTTGCTTCACCTCTCAATGTAGTATAATCATAGTATAAAGTATAGAATGTACACTAAAACTATTTGGCATCATCCAATATTGGGGAAAGTTGTTGAAGGGATTCAAGGTCAATGGCATTTTTGCAACGACATTGGAAGCTAGGGCTAAATTATTTTGCATATTCTATGGTCATGCAAGGATACAATTTGAATCTCAGTGCTCGATGAAAAACACGATTAAGTACAAGCCCATGAAGCTGTCATCTTTACAGAGCATTGTGGACTCAAACTCCAGCGCTTGTAGCATGCTTGTAGTATGCGAACTGTGACATCATACATAAAGGACAAAGTCCGACTTAAAAACTATTTCAAGTACCTTCCTCTCTGCCCCCATCCCCCTCACTCTTACAGTGTGCTTACTTTCCCATTCTTGTGCGCGACTATCCCCAGTGCCAACTGCACGTCCTAGCAACCTGGAGCCGACTCGCTCACTTAGCAATAGTTATGGTGAACCGTCGGCGGGAATGGAGAAGCAAAGTTGTGGAAGTTAAGTTGGGGAGGTACTGACTCTGAGGTAGGTTCTCATAGCAAGAATCCACAGCCATCTTTTACTTACGCATTCACACTACAACTAGGTCTGTCGTTGGCCGTACGGTATGTGCTTCTTTCTATGCCAAGTTCTACATGTGTTGAATGTTGTAAATTACAGGTATTCAGGCGCATATATGCGATGGGACGTGCTTGTCGGCCACGAATGCTCTCAGTCAGTCGAGTTCCCATTCTCCTTTCTTTTCTATCTATACTTTATGAATATCTCACCTTGTCGCTCGCCTGTGGCCAAAGGCTGAGCGCCTGTCTTGCCCTCACCACCACTCCACCAAACTGCCTATGGAAACGAATGCCCACGATGATGGCTGCCCATGACAGTGCACGGACGGCTACAAACTGCCAACGACCCACCACCACCCCACCAAGGGCGATGACAGCCCCCACCACTCCCAGCTACGGGGACGGGCGCCTCACCTCACCACCCGAGCTAAAGTGACGAGTGCGGGCACCAGCACCCCACATCGATGATGGCCCCACACCACCCACGAATGATGAAGGCAGTGTCACGATAATCAAACGAGGATGGGAAGAGAAAAACTCGACGCGTACAATGGTAAGTTGAGTGCGTACTGAATTTAACTCACTCCGGAAATTCTAAGGTCGGGCGTTACTCAACAGATAGTGGCGAACTTCGGGTTCGTGTGCCATTGTTTAGCTCTTTTAATCTGTGGATCTCGTACCCCTGTTTCCGTTTCTCAATTGGTCAGCCTTCCACTCTGCTTCAAAATCTTCTGCCACCTATTCGACTTCCATTTTCATTGTTGGTCACGCTGTTCCTCACTTTATGTACTTCATGTCTATTATTTTCAATACAAATTGATTTTAACTTCATTTGAGCTATTCTGAGGTTTATATATCTGGGAGCACTTTCTATGGGGGACCAATGATTGCGTGACCTTCCATGGCAAACAAAGTGGTGGAAGGTTCATGATATCCTTCCAATGTTAGCACAACCTTACATACTTGTCAAATTCTTGCTCTGCATTCCACATTTGTTGACACCAGTGGATGATAATGCAAGGTCAGCTTAGAATTCTGGTACATTAGTGCTGATTGGTTGCATTGTAGCACCTTACATTGTAATGTAAGGTAAATGCTGATTTGCTGATGCATGGTCTCTCTGAAGAGTTTGAAGTCTCTGACATCCTGTCTCATTTGCCACTATGCAACCCTTTCCAATAGTCAGTCTTGACTATAATTCTCTGCAAGGTACAAAGACTGAATGATGGAGGGCTTTTTGTATAAAGTCAACTTCTTTATTTTCATGTACCTACACAGTCAAGGATATCATTGTAGTCAAAAAAATTGGACACTACAAACTTTGCTAATGAAAAAGCAAGACACTACAAATATTTGTAGTCTGGAAAAGCGGACACTATAAACTTTTGTAGTCTTAAAAAGCAGACACTACAAAATTTTGTAGTCTAAAAAAGCAGACACTACCAATTTTTGTAGCCTTAAAAGATTTGATAGCTGTAAAAAACCGTACACTACAAACTTTTGTAATAGATACAAAATTTTCTGACTGGAAGGCGGTTAGTAAATATATGTAAACAAATGCTCAAATGAGCATGTTTGGTAGATTTTCAGCTTTTGTATTTTCCTCTGCTTGATATAACACAAAGTAAAAATAGATTAGGGTCCCTATAATATTTAAGCATATATCCCATCAATTTCCCCATCACAAACATGCAGGCATTGGATGGATGCGAGAGGATGGGTTTGGATGACGATTGGGCAATAGCATTGGTTCTAAACAACGTCAAATACGAGATTACAACTTTTGTAGGGGACACTACAAACTTCAAGGGGCAATACAAACTATTGTAATAGAAAAAAGGGGACACTACAAATTACAAAGGTGTGTGTTTGTCGTTTGAGCATGGAGCAGACAGTAACGTGTAATGATGTGACTTACCTCTTGACACTAATGTCACACTTTGTGACATGCCATCTTGCACCCAACAACCACCACGACATTCGCCGACAATGACCACCACAACCAACAACGAACGGCGACAAGGGCCCAGCACCACACGAGGACCACACGATGGCCCAGCAATGACAACTGGCCACCAGTGCCCATCCACCAGCTCGTGGCGCCCATCCCGAACGCCCACGACCACTGCCCACCATCCTCGAACGGAAACGAGGGCTGAGCACCCCGTCAATGAACGCCCATCACCGCTGTCAAGAAACGGCAACGAGCGCCCACCCACTGTGAACACCCTCCACTACCATCATCAACATATGACAACGGTGATGGGATGACGACGACGACTAATGTTGTCGTCGTCCTTTCATATTGCAGATGGTATGTACACCCCACCTCTATCACCACCCACCCAACTAACACAACACCACCGCCGTCGACCGCTCACTGGCGGTTGACGGCATGCACACCCCACATCAGCACTCCTGATGTACCTCATAGGTACCCTAAAATGGGTGACTGAAGTGGGTGATGCCGCGCGACGTGTCAACCCACTGGAACTCAACATACGACATGCTCAAGTTCGCCCTCGACTACCATTCTGCATTTGATGAAATAAGTGACCAGTCACTGAGCCTGCGGCCATATGAATTGAGTAAGGTGGAGTGGAGGGTTGTGGAGGACCTCTGTGAAGTTCTGACAGTGCGTTGCCTTTTTTCTTCTTATCTTTAGTTAGTATCTAATCATTCAACAGATATTCAAAGATGCGACCCTCTTCTTCTCTCGAAGTGGGCCCAACATCGCAATAGTGATACCAGCCATGGATCACCTTGACTCTCACCTCCTCAACGCAGCAAGCAATCCGAAGTACTTGATCGCTATGAAAGCGGCTCTCTCAATCGGCAAAAAAACACTCAACCACTACTACAACAAAACTAATCACTCCGAGGTCTTTAGGATCGCTATGGGTAAGCCTCACCTCATAATTTCATTGTTTCTTTCTAATATTATTCTACAATGACACAGTCCTTCATCCTCGACATAAGTTGCAGTACTTCAAAAATGCAAATTGGTTGCCAGAGTGGATCGACAATGCCAAGAACATTGTTCGCGAAGAATTCGAGTGTTCATATGCCTCAAGTGATGTTGACGTTGTCGACTCAGAGTCCATAAGTACTTTCATTTGTATTTTCAACTTCCATTTACATTGACGGTTAGGAGAATCATGTTACATCCAAGTCAAAAAATATTTTCGACAACCTTCCCTCCCTCACAGCTCCTATGCCTTCCACTCTTTGTGATGAACTTGAGTGCTACTTAAGCACAGATCCCGAGGATGTAAAGGATGTCCTGCTTTGGTGGTATGAACGAAGGGATCGCTATCTGCGCCTTCACCGGATGGCACTGGATTACCTCTCTATTCCCTGTGAGTTCTATTTTCAATTTGACTAATATCTGGCTCATATAAATTTTAGCGACATCAATCGATGTCAAGCGCACTTTTAGCCAGGGACGCCTTGTTCTCTCACATGTCCGAAACCATCTTTCTGTTCAGTCAACGCGAGCCTTGATGTGTTTGGGAGTTTGGAGCTTGATGGGGTACGTACATGACAATGATGTAAAGGCCGCTGTAGTGCTTCCAGAGATTGATGAGGAAGGCGAGCTTCCCATAGATTGGGATGTCATATGTTAGTGTAGTAGTAAACTACTCAACCCCATGTACCTACCCGTGCAGGTTGTATCAACCCATGTACCCCATGCAAACCCCAACCCCAACCCATCAAGAACTACACCCCTACCCCGGGGTACGGTTTTTGTGGGGTACAGGTACAGTCATCCACCTGCTAATGATACACCCAAAATGAGAAATTAGCTTCAACAGATTTGAGCACAACCTTTCTCTACATGAAAATCTCAGATAAATTCGCGTCTATCACTGTACCAAATTTCAGAATGTTTGACCCACATTTCACAAAGAAAAATTAAGATTATGGGTGTATCATTGAGGGGTGTGACTGTATTTGGCTATTTCTGAAAAACAGTCCATTTTGTATGCTCCACAGCTTTGCCAATTCTGCCTCAATTGCATCCAAATTATGTACGGTGGTAGATATGAGTTTGTACTACTTGTTATAACTTGTTTCATAAAAATCGGTCTAGTATTGAGTGAGATATTGGCTAGTCAAAAGTGTATCAAATGGGGGTGGCGTATCATTAAGGGGTGGATGACTGTACAGGTAGCCCAAAAAAACCCCAGGGTTACCTGTGATATTCCCTATCTGAAAGCTTTTGTTGCATTGCTTTTAAATAGAGGGACAGACTCTCTTCACTTATTTCTTTGAAAAATGAAAGGCATTCACTGGTGAGGGCAGAAGGCTGTCCTGCATGATGGGTAAATAAGTTTCTTACTCGGCCAAAATCCCTATAATTGCAATATGATTGTGGATAACATTACTAATAGAGCAGTTGGGGAGATCATATATCTCCCCCTAATTTATATAGTACCATTGAATAATACACTCCTTGAGGTTGCTGGAGAGACAAGGAGGCACAGAAATCAGCCCAAACCACTTTGTTTGGCTCAGGCACATACCACGTGACTGGTTTTGGAAACGTCACAAAAATATGCAAAGGACTGTAAGTATCTCAGCTCGAGAAAAAAAGCCAGATACGTAAAATAAGTAAGGTAGTAAGTTCGTACATACAACATTTGAAAGCACTAGAACTGAATTGGAGGGGGGTGGGAGTGTGTATGTGACAGAAAAACGAGAAATGAAATGAACATGTTCGGTCCTCTCTCTCTTTTATAACTTACTCTCCCTACCTCGCATACGGATGGAAATTATGCTGCCCCCTCTGCCCTGTCCTCTGCGGTCCCACACTCGCCCCACCGATCCCCGCCGCTCCCGCAGCCACACCCCCTGCAGCACCAGCAGGCCCCACCGGCGCCCCCCTAGGTCCCCTCGGTATATTCGGGTTCATCCCCCCACCCGCTCCTGCTCCCCCTCCACCCTGCATCATCCCTGCCCCCACCCCCCTCCCCATCCCACCACCCATACCCCCCATCGCATTCATCCCGCCCATACCAGCCATCATCCCAGGCCTCATCCCACCCCCGAACCCACCCCCCATCCCACCCATCATAGGGTTCATCCCACCCATCATGGCGGGATTCATGGCGCCCGCACTTGTCATCTGGAACATGCGCGTGTAAAGCGCCGCCAGCGCCTGAGGGTCAAACGCCGTGTTGCCCGCAGTAGCTCCACCCATGTTCCCACCTGCTCCGCCAACGGCGGTTGGGGTATTGAAGGTCCCTTGTTGTCCCCCGAATCGGTTCCCTCCTCCTTGCACGTATTCGTTACCTGCTACGCCGTCTTCGTTGGGGTAGCTATCCCGTTGGTAGCGTGGTTGTGCTAGCTTGACGTCGATCTGTTACGAGTGATCAGGCCATGTTTAGCAGAGGAGGAGGGGATACGTACCAACTTGCCATCAATCTCCAAATTCCCAAAGCCCAAGAAGGGTTGAACGTTCGTATCCTCAAACGAAACGAACCCAAACCCTTTACTTCGCCCTGTCTCGCGGTCCAACATGACCGTCGAGTCAATGACTTTCCCAAACTGGGAAAAGAACTCGCGCATGCTCTCGGAAGTGACGCTGCCCGCCAATCCGCCGATGAAGAGTTTCGTGGCGCGTTGGTGTTCTTGTCTCGGGATGGCTCTTTTGGGGTCGATCTAAGAATTGAAAAGGGAAGTAGGGCTCAGTTTCCTAGTGGGGAGAAAGGGGGAAAGGAAGAACTTACGATTTTCCCATCCAAGAAGTGTTCTCGCACCATCACAGCATTCACGCTCGCAGGCTCTTCAAACGTCAAAAACGCAAAGCACCTCGAGCGACCTGCAGCGTCACGCATAATCGTGCACGCATCCACTTTTCCAAATTGTGAAAAGTAATCCCGGAGCGCGTCTACATAGAAAATATTTTTTAGTCAACTACGCCAATATTCCAAAATAAATAAAACACTGTATCCACCATCTGTAGTGTCCCAGTTCAAACCTCCAATAAACATTTTCCTATTTGGGGTTTGTGTTTTGACGGCGCCAGTTGAGGTGAATTGACGAGTGGACGTGGAGGAGCAAGGGATATGGAAAAAGAAAAAGAGATGCTATTAGTATCGGTAGGCTAAAAACAGACACATTATGACAAGGGAAAGAGAGGGAAGAGGGACTCTACTGTGTGTGCTGGGTGTGCAGAGAAGGGTTGTGTCGAGGTAGCCTAGCCTAGCCTAGACGTAGAAGAGGCGGGAGATACGCTAGAGCTAGCTTAGACGATGCGACTGACTACGCGAGAGTCATATATCAATGGCCGGCCAGCCAGTACCAGCGGCGCGCAGCAGTAGATCCTGGGGAAGGCAAGGGGGGTTTAGCGAGAGGAACGGATATCTTACCCTTCATCTTTCATCTCCGAGGGACGCACGCTCCGTTCAGTGACGGGGATATTTTGATAGCCCCCATCTGTACGTGGTGCAGGAGGCTCCCGATACTCCGAGGGCTGGGGCTGCTCGTACGTCGGGATTTTTTGGGGTGCTGGTTGTATGTAGCTGGTCTGGACAGGCTGTGCGTATTGTTGTTGCTGCTGCTGTTGGTGTACCGAGGAAATGCCGGAGCCGTTCTCCATAGGTATCGCCTGTGGTGACTTCACAACGGGCTTGTTGTCCGCCGCTTTTGTTGTTGTCGTTGTGCTAGTGATGGTTGTTGTGCTGGGTGACTCGGCTGGCGCCGGTTCCGCGAGTGTCTCTTCTTGGGCTTGCTCGTTAAAATCCGTTTCGTCATTACCGTAGAGATCTATGAGGGTGTATAGGTCAGAGTTTAATGAATGTTTGCAGTTCCCTCGCTTACCACCGTACAAATCAGCGTCGAGGTCGGACATGGTGATGGTCAAGAAGGAAAGAGAGAGGTGTGACAATTTTCAACAGAGTTTGCCGTCATAACGAGTGACAGCGTCACGTGTGACATTGACGCTTGGACCATCTCCCTACCTCCGCAGCCTTGATACTTTCGTTTTACCTGCATGAACCCTACCATTTTTACCCGGTGTACGATAAGAAAGATGGAGAAATACAAGCAGGTAATTTCCGTTATTTTTTCGCAACCCACTTTGCTTGATATTTCGTAAAAATGAGCAACCGGAGCCATTCGGACCTAGGATTCCTCATAAGGTAAAGGTGCACAAGTCATCCCAAAATTTCGCCCCTCCGCTTGGTTGGACAGCGATAAGGATAAGCAAGGAAAGTAGATGGCTCGAGACGGTCATGAGAGGGTTATTATCATTGGTATCCTAGGTATGCTTCTTTAGATCGTCTTCGTTTTCGCATGCTAAAGAACTCGACAGCCCTGCAAGGCGCATTCGCAGAACACCAAACGGCACTGCAGAGATTATCTCTGAATAGAACGATAGACACAATCTTCGTACGCACGGCCGAGGATCTTGATAGATGTGATGCACTCATAATACCCGGTGGAGGTCCGTCGTACTCCTTACCCTCGATTTTTTTCTGATGGCTAAACTAACAATCAACACAGAGAGCACAACAATCGCACTCCTAGCCCGGCTCTCCGGCGTTCTCGAACCACTCAAACTATTTGTAAAAACCAAACCAGTATGGGGAACCTGCGCCGGTGCAATCCTCCTCTCACAAGCCGTAGAAGGCGCAAAGAAAGGCGGACAAGAGCTGCTTGGAGCCATGTCCATCACAATCGCGCGGAACGGTTGGGGGTCCCAGGTACGCACCACCCTCTCCGCCCCGTCCGTCCTTCCTCCCATTGACATAGCGCGTGGGATAGGTAGAATCCTTCGAAGCGGATCTCCAAGTCCCCGGCCTCCGAGACCCAGTCGTCCCATTCACAGGAATCTTCATCCGCGCTCCCGTAAGCCCTTCCCCTTCCCCTCCCTTCTTCCTCCCTCTTATCCCCGTTAAGGTAATTCTCGCCCTAACACCAACACCCTCCGACCACTCCATCATTGTGGTCGCCCACCTATCACCCGACCTCCTCCCCTCAGCCCTCTCATCGCCCGACCATTCCGCTGAGCCCAGGACATACGTGGCGGTCCGCCAAGGCCTGCATTTTCTCACTACTTTCCACCCGGAACTGACAAACGATGATCGCTTTCATGATTATTTCGTTAGGGAGTGTGTGCTGCCGTTGTTTGTCGGTGTCAGTTGAGCGGGCGTCGGTACTTGTGTATAGATGCTTTTTTTTGCTCTGGAACTTGTGTTTATCGTGCGAGGTTGGCAAAGCATTTTCACGCCAGCGGAGCATTCATGATTTATTCATTCATTTGTCCAATTTGGCGCAGCAATTGAACAGTTTCCCTTGGAAAGCAAGATACGTGGTCTAAACTTACTGGCTAAGGGAGTTTAAAAAAACAAAGCAAGCAATACAATTGAAGGAAAGGCATCTTAGTTCTCTAAAACGTCACCCGACTTGTTCGAGCCACCCAGTATTAAAGCCACGGATCTTGGCTGTCCAGTAGGATCATAATCCTGCAGTTGCAGCCTTCCAGCTGGATACCGTTCATCCCAAGGGTTCTTTGGATCGGCCACTTCTCCTTCCTTGAAAATCCCTGTCGTGTCAAGTCTGAACGCTATCATTGTAGGGTTTGAAAACCACGAATGTCGGTAATGGCTATGCCAATAAGCGAAAGAGATGCCACATAACAAGACAACGAGATGCAACCCAGCCCAGAAGTAGACTCTCCATTGGAGAATGGTTGGATGCGAAGCGGGGACGGCAAATACCACGTTCGTCTGGCTCTCTGAACCCACTGGCCTACCGAGTTCAATAACCAGGTATGACCAGGCGGATTGATAGGCCCGCGAGACAAACTCTTTCACATAACTCTCCACGTAACTCTCCACACTGTTCGAAAAATTGGATGATGAAAAATCTCCAAAGGTGGTGAGCAAAGTACGTGATCCGACTGACGGGGCTATCGCCAGCGCCTCAATGGTCAGGGGATCTGCAACAGGGTCGAGATGTGAGGTGTATACATTTCCCTGAACAACGGCAGGCGAAACGATAATGCAGTTCCGACAAATTGCGGCACCTGCTGTATAGGTCACATTTGCAAACGCGAAGCACGAATAGTCTGTTGAGTTGGCGATTGGAGTGGGGTAGAAATTGACACTGGATGGTATGACATATTCGGGGAAAGTGAAGGAGCAATTTGGGCTGGACACAGAAGATATTAGAATACTGAGAATCCGAGATTCAGATACGTTGACGGGATCAGGTAACTTGGGATCAGAACCTGGACCCCAAGAAGTGTCAGGAAGGAACGCAGCGAATCCCCCGTAGTTGCTGTAGGGGTTGTAAACACTAGAATCATTGAGCAGTAATTTCTGTTTCCTCGTGAGGGTAGCGTCAGGATGTGCTCCTTACATGGCCTCCGACAGAACTTTCATTTTGCGAGATTGCGTTCCGCGTCGCGTTTCCTGCAATAAAAAACATCAGAAAAATCTCATTTGAAGAAACTACGGCGTTACTCAGGAATATAGAGCAGGGAAAAGGTGAAGAAAGTGGTCAGTGACCGCTTAGCGCTCCTTAAATACAAAAGTTCACCTGTAGTTCATCCGAAATCCTAGTATCTAACACTGCGTCTCAGCGCTAGGTTGAATCCGATGATAGAAACCGGTACTACCTCGGAGGGCGCCTAATCACAAAAATAGGTCCAGCATGCCAGTCCATGTGACTGTTATCGCAAGAGGAAGAAGTCCAAGTTCATAGAATTGGGAATGGAAGCTTGACCCGAGCGGGGATTGTGCGAGTCCCAAATATCCAGTTTCTGCAACATAAAACGTAACGTAAAGGTGGCTTGACGACACTGCAAGGTCGTTGTTCTGCGCGCCGCCTTTCCGATGAAATGACATCCACATCTGAAGAATGAGTTGTCGTGGCGGTCTTTAAAAACTGAATAAGCGCGCAGCATGCTCTGAGATGCAAATCGGTTTGAAAATCCGGTTGATCGAGGGGGATAACCCATTGGATCTACGTGTGAGCAAGTGAATGAAGCGCCAGCGTATGTGAGCTCACACTGACCATGATGTTAACGTTAGTTACGGAAAGTTTGCGGGAAGTTGATGAAAATTTATTCAACCCAAAGTATCTCTCAAGGTCACATTGAGTGAACATGTGAACACCCACTGGCACCGTCATGCACACTTCAGGCCTCCTTCTCTAAAATCAAAAGCTTGGAAGTAGGAAAAGGAAGGCATAGGATGGGATAAAAACAAGTGCAACTACATGAGTAACTTTCTTTTTTTATGTAACACGCTACAGCAAAACTTGAACTTCCAGCCTCACCAAGTCCCACATACACGACCGTCGAGACTTTCGTGACTGATCCATCTGATGGGTGGTATGGCTGCAGAAGCTTGCAGAAACCCGACGTATGACCGTTATCTCAAACCCAACTCCAAGGACAAAAACCCATCTCAAAATAACTGCCCAAGCGCGGCCAACCCCGGGGGGCTTCCGGGCTCGATCATCATGCGAACCAATCTAAGAATAAAGGAGAAGGCGTAAACTACCCCTATAAGAACCCGTTGACAGGCGGAATATGGAGAAGTGAAAGATATCCGAAATTCGAATGGTAAGTAGTAAGCCTCAAAGCTTGACTCCTTGGTCGCACTTTTGTAGCGGCTTGGCCGCGCGTTGGGCCTCTCAAAGGCGACGTGTCTCCTGTTTTGCTGCCCTAGCGTGGCCCACATGGGCTCGGAGTTCCTCCCCGTGGTTTTCTTGTTGCTGAGTTCAATTGCTTGCTCAGGTATGTCACCGTATACGTTATTGACGACCGCAACTCTGCGATAACTTTTACTCGGGTTCATCCGAGTCTGCGTCCCAGCCATTTTCCGATTCATCTGCGTATAGTGAGCTCACGTTTTGCACCATTTTCATATCTGATCTTGTCCCTCGTTGTAGCGCAGGCCATATACTACGTATGGGCTTCGATTTTTTTTTTGATCTTCCCTCGCGCAGACAACGGATGCTTAAATAACCACCAAGAATTGTCAATTTAGTAAGTTCTCATCCATGGGTACGCCTCTTCGGCTGTGTTGTGAATGGTACCTCACATTATTTGTAGGTTCTGGAGTCGGCCTCACGAGATATATCATAACGTCAGTTCCAACCTTTGGCGGCGACAGTGGCAATAAACGGAGTAGTGAGGGGAAGTATATCAATATCCGACAGGACTTCCACGACTGTGGTCTTCTGGCCCTCACGACAAGGGATACTACGACGGAGCGAGTAATCCCTTTTGGCCTGACTAAGTGCCGGCGAACGAGACGGTGTAACCACCAGCATCTACGTCATCGAGAACGACTGGCTCGAGTTCTTCAACGTCCAGGACAGCATCCAAGGCGACGACATCGGCTAAGCCTGCCAGTCGCTTGGGAACCTAATCTCCACAGATCTCCCGGCCTCGAAGTAAGTAGCGTATTTCACCTTTGTCCCAAATTCATGGCTATGCCTTAGAATAATAGGAGGAATAACACCTCTTCTCATTGAATGTCTCCTGTTTCCCCTCGGTCGCTGGAGACGGCGAAGACAACGACGAGCTACTGCCCTTCCCCGATACCCGTAGCCTGGAAACGGAATTTTCGCAAAATGAGCCTCCTTCAGGCGTCAATCAGGCGTTAATTGGGGCAACGATGCCGCCTGCTTCCGGCCTTCCCAGGGTGGGGTTACTTCACTCATCAGTAATTGCACAGTCTGCATTGGTCAGACCGCTGATAATGTCTTCAGCCGCAAATTTTACTACCCCCGCCACAACTTCCTTCAAGAGTTTCTCCGCATCCGAACTGCTACCTTGAGAAATTCAGCCGACTAAAAATACTCCTACCCAGAATTTCGTAGACTTGAGCTCGGTGAATAATCGCGTTTCCTGGGGGACTCTACAACAGATAACGGGACTCCTTGCGTCGCCCGATAACTTACCGATGCAGAGATGGACTTTGTCGCTTCGCTTTACGGGCAGCGATTGCCTCCACCAGATATTGGACTCATTATAGAGAATATGCTTGGTAAGGGTGAGATTGGGAATAAAGGGTGGGAGCGGTGGAATTATTCTAAGCCTATTCAGCCGTCTGCGTATGATTTTATTGATTTTGTGGGTAAGTAAGTAGCGGGCGAATGTAGTTTCCTTAGAAGACTTGACTTCTTTTTTTTTAAATGTCTGGATTTCAAGTGCAAAATTACTGCTCTGCATTTTGCACTGGCGTGCTAACCGTCAATCAATTTCTAACCTTGTTGGTCAGAATCGGAACCGCAGTGCAAACTTCCGGAAGGGTACCAAGGATATACACATACTAGTGTAGAGGGTAGATCAATCTATCGGATTATCCAAGTCAATCGCAAAAACCCCTTCATATATCGTGAACCAAGGTACGACTTCACATATATCGAAGTCTGTCTAGGAGAGGCCCCTGCGTTACGGTACCAATTTGTCGATCACGTGTTACAGAATCGAAGAAATCTAGCGCGGCCTTGGCGCGGCCATGAGTCACAGGACCCGGCGACAACAAATATCCGGGAGAAGTCGCCCTGAGCTGGACCTCCAGAAATCGTCGGCTGAAGCCAGATTTTTGCCACTTTCCAGAAGATTTCTGGTTCTGGAGAGGTTGAGAGGAAGCGATAATCAAATTTTTGATTTCTTCTGGGCTTGACTGGGATCTGCTAGGATAGGCTGGGATGTACCGTTGTAGGCCAGAAACAATTGTTATTGAATTTAGCTACTATACACGTTACATTCTGGTCCTATTTGGTCTGTATCTGGATATATCTGCGTCCTGCCTGACCATACCCGCATCCTCCGGCCTATCCACCGCACCGCACCTGTGCTCCACCTAACCCAGTCCTGTAGTATCGATGCACACCATTCCAGCGCCCACAATCGGAAATACGGGTCTCGGGTGTTCTTAGCAGTAAATGCTACATGATAATTAGATTGAGGAGAACAAGGATGATGCGACAAGGCAAACCTGGTTGAGTGCATAAGGTTGTGAGCAACAGACGTCAACTCAACTTCCAAAGATGAAGGTCGTCGCGATACGGCATCTCTTTCTTTCTTGGGTCGGCCTGAGAGGATTCTCAGCAAACTCGAATGCAAAAGATGCAGGATCCACATACCAGATCTCAGCTCAACAGCGCGCAATCCAGAAGATGGAAAGCCCTTGAGCATTCCCAAGCCATTAGCAACGAATGCGATACATTTTGGACGCATATACTCACCGGTAACACGGTCGTAACCAAACTCCTTGACCCTTCTTGTACGCAAACTCAGTCTGCGGCCGTTGGGAACTTGAATTGAGCACTACACAGGGGGAAACGTCGTCACGCAAAGAGCAGCAGGGGAGCATAGGGACGCAGATGCCGATGCGGTAGGCATGATGGTGGGGGAACCGGGGAAGGGAAGAATGAATGACGATGTCAGGGACCGCGCACCGACAGCATTTGTTTATTGATTATGTAAGTAAAACTTTCCCATCGTGGACGACCAATGGACGACGTCGTTCTTACATAGTTGTACTTAGCGAAGTAGAAATTCAAAGTCGCGGAAAGACCACGACGCGATTCAAGAAACTTATTTGACTTCATTCAAGAAACATCCAGATAATCACGGCAGCGACCAGAACCAAACCAGAACAATTAGTCGCCCTGGAGCGGCTTCGGACTACCCCGGATACTTAGCAGCGGCTAACTCCAGAAATTTAGCCATTTGCCCAGATTCCTCTAGAGCACGTTTTCACTGGGAAGTAGGTCTTGTTTGACATATGTGACAGAGGCTTACGCGCTTACGCTTAGCCTGGGATTGGATGTATTGTACAAGGGCGTGTCTCGCCCCCAAAGCACTGTGGCAATAATAGGTCGTGTTTGGATGTATTTGGCGTATTTGGCCAACGCGTCGGTCACGAGTCCAAATACCAAAGTTTCAACCAAGGGGCCTCCAATGGAGGAATCCGAAAGATCAATCCCTCCCGAGAGGTCGTGAGAATGTGCCTGCGTCCAACCTGCGTCACACCCGAAATGGGCGGCGCCGAACGTGTGATCATCGCATCTCTCTCCCTCTGAGTCCCTCATAGTCACAATCCTACTTGCATCCTCGTAAGTAGTACGTATTTTACGAGCTTCTTGTTCTCTTCTCACTTGGCTCGACTATTTAAACGTTGCTGCTATTTCTCGCTTTGCCGAATAAACTTTGTTTGTTGAGCGACAGAAAGTCAACCAATTGGATAATTGCCGACAATGAAGTAATTCAAGATCAAGAGAGTTTTATGAAGCAGTGTCTTTCACGGTGGTTGACCATGGTGTTCATTTTTTGACATTGTTAGATGCATGTACGATTTGAGATAATGCAAGATATTGTAATACAAGCTATTTATTTATCTACTAACCTAGTGAAAGATTCAAATTGTTCTTCGCGAGGTCAATTGTGGTATATAAGGTGTGAGATGCGACGAAGGGAAACACAAACCAGAGGATGATAAAATATGGTGGATGAGTCGCATCGGCTTTCGTTTGGGTGTGACTCAGGCACGTTCTCACGACCTCTCGGGAGGGGTTGATCTTTCGGATTCCTCCATTGGAGGCCCCTTGGTTTCAACCTAGAGAATCAACACTGAACGTTGAATGTTGGACGTTGAACGTTGAACAGTCACTAGCACTGGCACCGTCATGTACACGCGTTTATGCCTTCTTCTCTAGAATCAGAAGCCTGAAGTAGGAAAGGGCATGAGATGGGAAAAGCAGGTGCGACGCCATGAGTAAGCTACTTTTTTAATACTAACTCGAATTCGGGCATACAGTATTTCCAGGACAGACATTAAGTCCCATGTATATGACCGCCGAAGACTTTCAGAACGATTCCATCTGATGGATGGTATGGCTGCAGATGCCCGACGTATCACCGTCATCTCCAACCCAACTTCAATGACAAAACCCATCGCAGAATAACTGCCCGGGACCCGGTGCTTGCGGGCTCGATCGTCATGCGAGCCCCTCCCATCGAATCTAAGAATAAAAGGGAAGGCGTAAACGTGGTGATTGCCCTCTCCAAAATGTTCGGAGCAAGGAATGTCCTGGTGTCTGCTCTGGTCGCTTTCATATCAACTGCAGAAGGTCGACAGATACGCAAGTCCGAACTCCAGGCAAAACAGCTGGAAGCAGCCAAACGGTGGCAGCTGACGCCTGTGAGAAGAGCATCGAAGAAGATCACATTTTCCAATCCCAGAGCTTCTGGTACGTCCATCTGTTCTCGGTTTCCCCCTTTCTAATCTTAGTATTCAGAGTTTTTCGTGGATGGAAAAAGTATTCCGGAGGTCGATTTTGATGTTGGTCCTAGTTGGTCGGGTCTCTTGCCTATCAGTGGAAACAAAAACGAAACACGCAAGGTGAGGATCTGTCATCTTTGATGATTGTTCAATCTTTTTTTGAGATTTACGTATGTGTTACTGGCTAGCTCTTCTTTTGGTTTTTCCCTCCCGGACCTCAAGGGAGTTTGGACGACCTTATCTTCTGGTTGGTTCACCATCACAATGCAAAGTTTTGTACTCATAAGTGACTCCTGTGCAGGACAAATGGTGGACCAGGATGTTCTTCCCTTGAAGGGATTCTTCAAGAGAACGGGGTACGTTGACTATGTACTGGTATTTGAATGCGCTAATGTACTATCCATCAGCCCTTTTCCTGGAGCTATGGACAAGCTAAACCTACGCCAAATCAGTACAGTTGGACGAACCTTTCCAGTGTGCTATGGGTCGAACAACCTGTTGGTACCGGGTTCTCGCAGGGAACTCCTAACATCATGGTATGCCATGTCGTCATGAGATCTCGGCTGAGCTGACTTGGAAATCTATCCTAAGGACGAGGATGACCTTGCTGCTCAGCTCGTCGAGTTTCTACAACAATTTTTGGAGGTATTCTCAGAATTGAAAAACAAGAGGTTTTATCTGACTGGAGAAAGTGTACGTCTAGTCCGGTCTCGACTTTTCCAGTCCCACTGACTCGCCGCTATAGTACGCAGGCGTTTATGTTCCTTGTAAGTTTCATGTGCCGTACTCCATATCGAAAGCTTGAAGTGTGCTAGATATTGCAAACTATATCTACGAACACCCAGGAGTGTTGGATCTTGAACTTCAGGGCATCTGGATAGCAGACCGTGCGTGGCTTTACAGCGACAACGTACCTTACACGATCGTCTCACATCACGGCAGCATCCTTATCCTGGGACGTTGTCCAACTGCAGATCCCCGCGGTTGACTTTGTTCACAAATATGCAAACGTATTCGCGTTCAAGTAAGTCCTCATTTACTGGGACTTTCCTTGTCGATACCATCTAACTTGCTTCATTCAGTCAATCCTTTATGTCGCATCTTGACAAAAAAGCCGTGGCCTGCAACTACGCCGGATACGTGGATAAACATGTGACCTATCCACCAGACGCAGGACTCCTCCCCCTTCCAGGCGAATCTACCGAGGCAGATCCTGGTTGTGACGTTTGGGGAGAAATTTTTGACGCGGCTCTGCTCATCAACCCAGCTTTCAACATCTACCGCATCTTCGATACCTATCCTATCCTGTGGGATGTTCTTGGTTTCCCGTAAGTTCCACATGCATGCTTGCTACGACGTGTAACCCTCTTTGTCGTTCAGTGGCACATTCCCTCAAGTCCAAGTGTCTCCCGTTTACTTCGACCGACCAGACGTCAAGGCGGCTATTCACGCCCCTCCTCATGTCAACTGGACCGGTTGCTCCAACATTGATGTGTTCCCGAACGGAGACGAAAGTCCTCCATCTGCACTTACCGTTCTGCCTAACGTCATAGAGAAGAGCAAGAGAAGTGTCATTGTTCATGGGCTGGCCGACTTTAGATTTATTGCCCAAGGGTGCGCTGTCCCAAATTGAATATGTCGATGGTGCTCATTGGTTTTTCTATAGGACGAGAATCGTCATTCAAAAGTGAAAATTAACCAATATCATTCGGACAGTTATTGACTCTATGCTTTGCTAGTATGACGTGGAACGGAAAGCAAGGGTTCCAGACACCCATTGCGAGTGACAGCTTCTTGGTCGATGGGGTTGGCGCGCTAGGCACGGCCCACACTGAGCGAGGTCTAACTTACTTGGAAGTCTCGCTTAGCGGACACATGTGCGTCCCATCTTTATGCTGGCATTTGCGTTGTGTGTTGATGATCTACATCCGTTAGGGTACCACAATTTAGCCCCTTTGTAAGTGTTCCCACCTAACTCCGGCATTCTTACTTAAGGGCACATGTTAGGCCGCCTTTCAGTCTATGCAATTCTTAATGGGATTCCGAGCCACTCCGTAAGTAACAGTTAGATACATATCAACAAAAGAACAAACATGTACGATCATAACGATACCTCAATCCATTTCTGCCATTAAAGAGAAACATCCACGAATGCGCATCTATTCCACGGAAGGACGTCCCCCTGATCTGTTAGGCCTTGGATATAAAAGCGAACCTTCTTTGAAGGTGTCAGGGTGAAGGGCAGGTTCTCTTGAAGGACGTTGAATGATTTTCCTTCCCCATTTATCCCAGAGGTCCCAATCCAGACCGCATCCGCAACTGGCCCAACGTTCCATTCATCGGTATAGGGCTGTGCGTAGACGTTAAAGTAAACAAAGGAGGGGAACCAGCTAATCGTTGGTTGAAGGTTCCACGCGGCTATAGGATCCTCAGGAGACTTGATGTTGATGGTGGAGACCCGAGGGAAGGTTGTGGCGACTTCCCAAGTGAGTGACCCCGAGAGTAAGGGAGACGGAGATACATGGGTTGCAAAGTCTGCCCAAAGAACAAGCGTATCATGCTCTCGGTGGGTATCCGGAGGACGGGGGTGGACGTTGAGTTGTCCGATTAGCAGGGAAAGATTCAAGGGGCGGTCTGGGTTTTCGGTCACAACGGCCACGATCAACCCTATGGCTACGATCGAAAAGGTATCTGTGCCAGTAAATGTGAATTCAATCTTGAGCTTTGACCATCCCCCGTGAAGCTCTGTGGACGAGGTCGACCTAACATCCGGCTCATTGTCGCCTGAAACCGTTTTGAGAGCGAGAGCGAACTCTGCATCAAACTCGTGACTTTCTCCACCTTGAAGTTTGTAGATGATCTGGGCCTCGTATAGACGCTGGTGGGTAACAGTCAGAGACTGTATGGGGATCCATACAGATCGATATGCTGCAGTCTCCTCCTCAGATGCTGGGAATGACAGAGATAGGCTGAGAGAGCTTCCGCCATTCCACGCATCGTCCATACACAAGGCAGAGAGGGCTTCTGGAAGGACATCCTCGCGTTCATCTTCCCAAGACAATATAGGACGAGGCCAAACCATATCGCCCACAGAACATTGCTTGTCAACGTCCGTCCAACCATTCCGACTCTCGAACACCCGGATACCTTCAACAAGCCACGACTGTCCAACACCAGGGCAGAAAGTAGAATGAAACGGAAGGTTGAAAGGGTCTGGAGGGGAAAGTCGGGGGAAGAAGGAACTGAGGGGGAGAAACGGCCCGTGAGGACATTCTGGTTCGCCTTCCCTTCGTGGAGCCTCTGGTACGTCGACGGTGCCGCTGATGGGGCCAGCCCATAGTGTGCGTTCGTACTCCCACCACTTGTCCCATGTCCATCCTGGCTTATCCTGCTCAGTCTCCCAGGTCCATGCTTGACCAAAAAGGGCTACACTTAGCCCGAGAGATTCAGGAGCAATATGTGAGATAGCTCGGTAGCACCCGAGTCCTCCTCCCCCATGAGAGCCGCGGCCCCAGACGTCGACGCCCATGTATATGTCTTGAAGTGTTTTAGGGTATAAGTAAGGTTGGGATTCGGGAGCTTGACCAATCAAGGACGGGTCCAGACTCAAAAAGTACTGAGCGGTGAGTGAAGGATAATCGCGACCCCACTGAAACGGAAGGTTAATTTAAGATTGAAAGTGGCAGTTTATAGGAACAAACAGCGTAGTTTGAGAAAAGGCCACTTGACGATAAGAAAAAGGGAAGATTCAAACTGTTGAGCCTATTCTGCCATGCGAGCTGGCCAGTAAAAACAACACTATCATACCTAAACGGTGGCAAGTGTTACAAATGATCAAGGTTGGATGAATTTGGATGACAAACCATAATGTGGTTCCGTGAGGTCCAACTTTCCGCAGTAGCTCCGATTGCAGAAGAGTGATCCAAGCCGCGAGCGCTCTTGTCTGCTCGACCCCTCCTTTAAGGGGACATTCGAAATTGAGCAGGTATCCGTCAAAGCCACGTTCCTTGGCGAGATCTGCTAGTACGGTCGCGTAGTGTGGTGACACTGGTAAAGTGTGCGATGAAGTTGGGGTGTCGACTTGCCCAGTTCTTGACGATGGCATTTTGCCAACTAGGAGGCGAAGACAGTCTTCCTCCCCTCCACCTTCAAATATTCTACAGGAAAAGACAGTCAGCTTGAGTTGTCCACGATGTATGATACGGATAAGTGGAGATCGGCCGTGTAAGCGAACAGTAAAAGAAAACGAACAAAGTACCGAGGATCTTGACGCCCTGCCTGTGTGCTGCAGAGATCCATCCGGTAGGAGGTACCGTTATACGGTGGTGGGAGAAACTGACTGAGGTTAGGCCATGGCAACGGCCGGAGTATTCGGCACCCACTATACGAAGGTATCGCATCTAGACCAGTAATTGAAGGTGTATGATCGAGCGAAGAGACTCTCGGTATACCCTCCCTAAGATCGGGTGTTCAGCTTAGACAAGCGCTTGGGGACCAGCGCAATTCGCGATTCGTGGGAGATGTACCTTGTAATCGTGGCATACCTTGAGCGCGGGTAAGCGAAGTCGACGTATATGAAGATAAACGAAAAGCACCAAAAGTTTTCCCTTTCCCGCTGGATTTGCAATGGGTTGTCGTGGAGTGTATTTGAGAATTCCGTTGAAGCCACTGCCAGATCCTTCGGGTTTCCAGTCATCGAGTTCTTTCAATGACTTGAAATAAGGAACATGGTTGTTGCTATTGTCGGTATTGCCGCAGATTGGCATGAAAACAACCTTTGAAACGCTTTATCAGATTGGATGAGAGCAGTTCGAACCGCCCGCTGGTGGCAGTGGTTGCATACCACGAGCGCAACACGTGCATACGGTGTACTTACATAATGACAATATTCCGGCTCCAAGTGACTCAAAACTTACCAACCAATTACCACCTGCTTCTCCTCTAGCTTGCCTAGTGCACCAATTTCGTGATGCCACTCGAAAAAGTTCAAAAAGATAAACTCGCCTATGATCCCATTTGCAAAGAGAGACAATATTCTTTCCAATCAGGCGCCGTTTTAACGATAATTTCGACAAAGGAACTTGAAGCAGAACCTCAATACCAAGTGGGGCTGACGGAGAAAGACATCTACTTTCCAGTTGATGATTTGCAGCGTGCTGCATTTAAAACGGATGCGGGAAAGGTGACACGGCTGCTGCATAATTTCGAAGGCAAAATAAATTCACTTCATCTTTAGAAATTGACACCCCATCAATGGGCCGTGTACGACTACACACTCTCCGTTCCTTGTGGTCGGGTGACCACCTATAAAGATCTTTCATTGGCTGTCGGTGGCTCGCCTCGTTCTGGTACGTTTTGTATGGCAGGTGGCAAATGATTGTTTGTTGACAATTGTCAGTCGGCAACGCGTTGAGAAATAACCCATTCGCGCCATACGTTCCATGCCATCGTGTCATCGCGTCCAACCTTTATATCGGTGGATTCATCGGTGAATGGGGTCCGACAGCTAAAACTGGGACGAAAGTCAACAAAAAAATTGCCCTTCTGTCTCGCGAAGGGGTTACATTCGATCAACGCGGATTCCTTGACAACGAGGACTACTTGTGGAAAGGCTCGTCGAGCTTCGAGCGCTAAAGATCTTTATCAGCAGAATTGAACACAGTACTACATGTAATTAGATCACGCTGATTTTACGTGATTCGTTATCAAAATCTTCCTTCTGAATGCAAGTTCACGTTCTGGCCTTCAGGATTTAACCAGTTTAACCTATCATTTCATTGACTAGTAACATTTATGTCCTACCAAGCATCTCAGAGACCAGAATTATCCTTGAAAAATGAAATGACACTGTAAAGTTGCCGCTCGGTCGTCTGCGGGAGTTCAGGCGTCGCGAAGAATGTAACTACTGATTCTACGCTTCCTTCTACAACTATGATGGTAACAAGCTTCCTTTCCAATTCCTTTCCGAGCGCAACTGACTCGTACTCTGATTCCGGACAATGATATGTGCTCCCACTGGTCAACATGAAGTTAAGATTATCGACGCTCGGATTCAAAAGTCGATCGTGAATTAGTAGGTATGACTTGAATGTGTTATGGAAAGTTCAAGACCGTCGCGTCGAAGGGTGTCCAGCTCCTCTTGTATATCCGGACGGATAACAAAGCGAGAAAAACTCGTCACATTCACTGATTGGATGTGAGATATGGTCCTTTGTTCGGAATCCACCAGTCGCAAATCGCACTGCCGGAATCTGTCCACAAGAACATCTCGGAACAAATGCATGTGTTCAGTGAGCGCAGTGGGGCCACAGTACGAGAAGTGTTGCAGATTCGGGAGGAGAATATCTGCATGAGGAGAGGAGAGCCGCTGTAGGAGCATTTCATTGAAAAACTCGTCGCCTAAAGACCCATTGCGGAACTCGAGGGATAAGTTTTTGACCGATGGGATATCTTTGAGAACCTGAGTCAAAACGCGGTTGGATGAGGACTTTTTTGTGTTATAGAGAGCGAAAACTTCCAAAAGTTTCGAGGAACGAAATGATTTCACGATTTGAAGGAGGAAGGCCTCTTCAGACGTGGATCCAAATGAGCCAGTGAGGGAGACCTCACGCAAAGAGGGAAATTTGACTTGCTCCAAAATCCAACTCACTTCAGGGCATATGGCATAGAACTCGAGTTCGAGATATTCCAGATGTTCCAGCACGGGAACTTGCTGATGGAATAATTCTATATCCAACGGACTCGGACCCGCCGACAACGTATCTGTATCGATTGCTTTGAAGGTGCAGCGAATTATTTGAGGGACATTGGAAAAAATTAGACGGATCTCGTCCATGGTGCAGTTGTCTGTAAATAACTCCCGCAATTGATGCCACGGGGCTAGTACGGCGGGCAGGCTGAAGTTGACAAGACGAAGGATTGAGAGTTGTGGGGCCATTGATAAATCTAACTTTCGTGCGAATGTTAGACTAAGATAAGCAGTAGCAGCAGTAAGAAGGAGTAGTGATTTTCCGGCACCGGGAATGTTGTCAAAACATTGAGACGCGATGTGGGGCGATAAGAATCGTGCTTCTTTCCATTGCGGCGAGACGGACGCAAGTAGAGTTAGAATATCTACCGGAGGATGAGACCTCCATGGTGTTGAACCTTCAGGATCGATTGTGGCAAGAGAAAAGGAGATGGGGTAATTTGCAATTCTAGACAGCCAGTCACGAAGAAGTTCGGTTTGAGCCTCGTAGCGAGCTTTTGTTAGCCGGAGGCGTATAGCAGTCCAAAGAATTGGGGTCGACCAAACGAAATATCTGAAACTCTGGCAAATTTTGCCTAGAAAGAGGGGAGTTTCCCCCTCCTCCTCCTCAGTTTCGCTGCCAACTAGCGGGCCCAAGGTCCGGTAGAATATCTCTGTCTTGATCTCTGCTGGACTCTGTCTTGATCTCTGCTGGAAGTTGATTGACCGGAGATAGAGAGTTTAATTGTGAGCGCAAACGTCGATGTTGCTCTTGTTGGTTAAGAAGAACGGCCTGGGTTTGCGCTATTTCCGATTCTAAAGCGGACATTTGTAGGAGTAAACCATTCTTTGTCTTCGCATTCTCAGAGTGATCAAGACGTTCTGGCATGTTTCTCGTAGCTTCTGTTTTTTTTGTTAGATTTCCTTCATCAATCCGAGAGAAGAAACATTCCCACCTCGCAATGTGCAACCGCTTCAAGGTGTGCAATGAATGATAGTATGGTCGACAACAGAGTGGCTTGTGCGAGTCCTCTGTTAGTCCTGAACAAACACGTGTAGTCGGAGTTGTCGGAGTTGTGGTGAGTTGAGAGCAGCTTGCTTGCTTCTCTCCTTTCCACTGTTCCACACGTTGACTGAGAAGACCTTCACGCTTGAGGCCTTGAGGTCGAGAGCCCTGATTAAGTGGGGAATGTTCAAGTCAAAATACAGGACACAGAAAAGATCGTTTAAACGTATCCCGATTCCACACAGGTGCTGCTCGGGGAGAGTCTTTCGTCTTTTGATGGTTATATAAAGTGAGTTAATTGAAATAATCGTAGGCGGGAGGGTACATTAGTGTCACAAGTGTTGAAAAATACAAGTGGGAGGAGCAATGTATATCAGAATAAAGAGTTGATGAAACGAGAGAATAATAAATAATCGAACGTGAGCAAGGGTGGTTGGTGGGGTTCAATCATCCTCCCAAGCTTCCGCAACCTCTTCTACAAACTCCTGCACAACTTTGATGAGGTCCCCAACAAGCGCGTCCCTATTCCACTCAGTCCGGTGACGCCAAACATCGCCAAGACACGTCGCGCGAAGCTGCTCCAGCTGCTCGATCGTCAAAGTAGAGGTGTTATCCCGTAAACTGCACTCAAGACTCGCAACCAGGGAATCATCAACGTAAAAGTCAGGTAAAGGTGGAGACGGACTGCGTTCAACAACAATCATGGGTACCGGTGCAGGAGCAGCAGGGGGAGTCGGGATTCTTTCTGGCGTTCTCGATCGGTGAATGGGTGTGTGAGAGGGCGATGGGGTTCTGAATGGCCGGGTGGTAGGCCCTGGTTGGGCTGACAAGAAAGGGTTTAGTGGATCAATTGTGGGAGGTCCGAACTGGATATCATTGGGTCCCCATTGAGGTGGGGCAAGGAATGAATCACCCATGTGCTGGTGCAGGAGTACTGTAGGCGGTGGCGTAGGAGACATGGGGTTCAGAAGAGATGGGTCGAAACCCGACCGACGTGGGTGTTCATCAACGACCATATCATCAGAGGGATGAGGTTCGGAGGGTTGAGTGTTTGAAGACCCAGCCACCGCATGGAGATCCCCCATAGGCTCAACACGATCGGGCGCGAACCGGACGACGCTAACGCTATGGGATTTCACCTGCGACGGAGGCGTCCCACCAACGATATCCAGTGGATCCCGATCATCGTCATCGTCAACGACCATCCTACTCCGTTTCGCATCCCTCCCCCCATCATTATTCCCAACAGCCTCCTCCTCCGACCCCAAAGAATCAGCACCACCCTCCTCCCCTCTCTGCCGCTTCAGCCTACGTTCAAGCTTGACCGGATCCGTAATCGTAAGCTCAGGCTGTTGTCCATTATTCCGCGCACTCCGTCGAGCAACGACAGGCCCGTCATCCTTCTCCTTCTCCCTCTCCTTCCCCTTGGCCTTCCTCTGCTGCTCCCTTCTTCGCCTCTCTCTCACAGCCATCCGATCACACTCCTGCCTAAACATAGGATCAAACTCCTGGATGCTAACCTGCGCAGCCGTAAACATCGCCTGCGCTTTATGCAGCCGATCCAAGTCTTCATGCGAGCGAACGCTAGCATTATGTACCATCTTTCCAACGTCGTCTAAGAAGTCTTGTGGGGTGAGGTACCGGCCTTTATACAGCTCTATATGCATCTTCTCCAAATCCATATCGTACAAAGCTGGTTGTGGCTCCAAGGGGTAATTCTCGTCAATGATGCCGTTCACATGTCCATTGACAACGGGCTGTGTGGCTTGATCTTGTTCGATGATCTCGAGGACCCCATTCGGCCCAGCCTGGACTTCTACAGCGGCTGTGACAGTCTCGATGCCGCCAATGGCATTGCCGAGTAAATTGAAGTTGTATTCATCCTTTCATCATTCACAAAATCAGCGCGGAACTTTCCTCTGGATCAAAAGAAACATACCGTAGCATTCTTTGTAAACCTCTTAAACTTCCTCTTCAACTCCGTCAATATCGGTCCCAAACGATACTTGAGCAACGTAATAACCCGCTGGTCATTCTCCTGCTGCACAGCCAACTCAGCAGCCGTTGGCTGCCTCGGTTCTAAAGGAGGCGCAATGGGAAGTTCCTCCAAAATCCGCTTCCTGCGCTTGACCCCATCCGCGAACTGATTGGGTGGTCGGCGAACGTCCTTGATAAGTCCCTCAAAGAAACGCTCTCGTTGTTCTACGGAAGGAGCCGTAAGTTCAACGCGGTTATCCTTCGTCGGGCCGAACCAAGCTTTGACATCCCGAGGTAGATCAGAGAACTTCCCATCAACAACGGCAAGGAGGAGGATGGGGTCGCTGGGGGAGAGGGTGTCTAGCATGGCACGGACTGTAGACCTCGAGGTCTCAGATACGGCGGCATACCATCCAACGAGGGAGGGGATATAGATGACGGAAGGTTGGTGACGTTTAGCCTCGACGAACAATTGAACGATGGCAGCTTCGACAGTCTGCGTAAATTATCAGTCAAGTCATAGGCATCCAAGAAGAGAGAAACCTACTCGAGTAGAATCGCCCATTAACGTGCCAAGCTCAAGACTCTGCACATGGAAGCCTTCAAGATGATGCAAAGCCGCTGCTCCAATATACCCTTGACCCATCCCAACAAGACCATGAATAACCACACGCGGTCTGTACACTCTCAAGGTTTGCATAGCTTGAAACACCATCAACACATCGCCTTCCACAGACAAAAAAGAAACACTCACATTGCGACAACATCTCACGTTCAAGCGCACCATCCTCACCACCATCGTCCTCATACTCCGCTTCTTCCAAAGCACTGAGTTTCTTCTCAACAGGCATGACGCGTTCAATGACAGCTTTGACTTTTTCCAATGTATCCGACAAGAGTGGGACGAACTGCGTAGGGAGCTGAGTCGCAGCTGACGATGAGGACCTTGCTGATGATGGTACAAGCTCTGCGAAATGAGTTAGGCTTGAATATTACAGTTAAAAAAAAAAGCCTACTCTTAATCGAAATCATGAAATCTCTCAACCCAACCCCAATCGTCTCAGGCTTCAACAAAAGCCTATCAGTAGTCTTGTACACCTGCGGATACCGCCTCTGAATAGCGTTCAAGGCCGCCTCCGTGCACAATGCCTAAACCCCCAACATCAGTTATCATCTTGCCCAATAACAAAAAAACCAACTCACACGAAGATCAGCACCCCCATAACCCTTCGTAAGCTTCGCCAACCCCCTCAACCTCTCCTTCGCAGCCTCCCCATGTGCACCCTCGCCCTCCTTCCCCTCCTCCCCCTCCCCCTCAACACCCTTCCCCCAGCCAACCCACCCCCTCGTCATAATCCCCAAAATCTTCTCCCTAGCCTCCAACCCAGGCAGCGCAAAATAAAACTCCCTATCAAACCTCCCCGGTCTCCTCAACGCAGGATCAATCGCATCCGGCCGATTCGTAGCCCCAATAACAATAACCTGGCCCCTCCCATCCATCCCGTCCATCAAGGCCAAAAGGGTACTAACGATAGACGCATGGATCTGGTCTTGTTTGGAAGACCGGACAGGCGCGAGCCCGTCGATCTCGTCAAAGAAGATGATAGAGGGTTGGCAGGAGCGCGCTTCTTCGAAGAGGAGCCGGAGTTGGCGTTCGGCTTCGCCGACCCATTTGGAGAGGCAGTCTGCGCCTTTGCGCATGAAGAATGCTAGGTAGTGATTGATGAGATTAGGTTTTGGACGGTTATGGTGAGACGAGACTTACAAATTTGTTTACCGCCTGATCTACAGCTCGCCGCAAGGGCTCTGGCTAACAAGGTCTTTCCTGTCCCTGGGGGACCGTGGAAGAGCACGCCGCGAGGAGGCGTGACGTTGAATCGCTGGAAGACTTCGGGGTATAAGAGGGGGAGGAGGGTCATTTCTTTCAATGAATGTATATCTAAAGAAAACGTTTAACGTTATGAAATAAAGGATCAAGAAATGTATAGAGCTTACGGTCGTCCAAACCACCCACTTCATCAAAGGTAACATTCGTATTCACACCTAAAGGATCAGCGTCCGCAAGGGCTACAAGTGATGGTGTCAGTGACGAAGGCAAAATGTAAGCTCAAACGAAAACTTACCCGCATTTCCAATCTTTCCAAGGTTCGACGGCGTCCCGCCAGCTGCCAAATCACCAGGCATCATCCCACTTCCGGCAGCACCAGCAACGGCCCCTCCAAACGGCGCAAGTCCACCAAAAGGTTTACGAGGCGTCCTCGTAGGGTGATCAGAGTCCGAATCATCTCCACCCATCCCCATCCACCGTCCCAGCTCAGCCCCAGACGCACTCCACCCAAGCCCTCTTCCCTTCCCAGACTTCCCATGATGCTGCCCACCCCTCCCCCCATTCCTTCCACCAGCCTGTTTACCCGGTGGCTTGGGGGGCATCTCCTCCAACGGCGGCGGAATCGCATAATTAATCTTCTGCCGCTGCCTCAAAGCATACGGCTTCCCATCACCGCCCTCTTCTTCCGGCTCTGGCTCAGGTTCAGGCTCAGGCTCCAGTTCCAAGTCGTCGGACGATTCATGCGGTGCGTCGTCGATGGACCCATCTGCGTCGGCTGAGCCGGCTGAAGATGTGTTGTGCACGTAGACGTCTTCTTCTTGTTCCATGCGCGCATTACGCCGTGTGAGTCTGCGGGTACGTTGCGAAGGGCCAGGAGGCCGTTGGGATATCGATGATGATCCGTTGGGTTTGGGGGTAGGTTTCTTCATCCTGCTGCGCGTTGAGTATCGGGCGTTGATCTTCTCGTCCTCGTCAGTGACGATGAACCCATCTAAACGCCTCTTCCTAGCTCGCAGGGGATACCTGCCCATAGGCACCTCATCCTCATCTTCATCCTCCTCCGAATGCTGACGCTTAACTCTGACATTGTCGTTGAACATGTTTTCAGCACCACCATTCCCATCGTCCTCGCTCGTCGTCTCCACATACGTCTTTTTCACAATCCTCCTCCCCCGACTGGTCGTCTGAAACTCGACGGGCGGCGCAGGCTCCTCCTCCTCCTCCGGCTCAGGCTCGCCCATGTCCATCGACTTTTCGCTCGCATGGTACTCTGAGCCCGATGGACCTACGCTGTCGCTATTCGTCCGATGTCTTGACGAGCGACGAAGAAGCGGGCCGGCGGCCATAGGCGGTAGCTTGATGACAAGGTGAGGTTGTTGTTGTGGCTGGAAATCAGGAATCAGGTTGTGAGAAAAGAGGTCGTTGAGTGGCGGGTTAAACGAGTCTCCCAAATTTGTCGAGTCAGGTTGGTGCATCAAAGAAGGGCCGGAAACAGCGCCAGACGGGGCTTGTCCGTCGTCGTCGGCGATGATGGTATGGTCGCCGTCGTCGCGCAGGTCGTTGAGCAGGATGCCTTTTGCTCGTCGGTCAGTGTGTGGAATTTGTTTGAATGTCCCACCGTGTTTCGCAGAAAGTGGCAGTGTTGTTTGTCCGTATTGATCTCTGCCATTCTCTTCAAACCTTGCCCCCAAACAAGGGCCGGAAACAGCGCCAGGTGGTGCTTGTCCGTCGTCGTCGATGCTCGCCGTCGTCGCGCAGGTCGGTGAGCAGGATTTCCTTTGCTCGTCGGTCAGTGTGTGGAATTTGTTTGAATGTCCCACCGTGTTTCGCAGAAAGTGGCGCTATTATTTGTCCGTATTGATCTCTGCCTCATGGGTCATCTCTTCAAACCTTGCCCCCAAACCCCACCCACTTGTGCGCCATTCTCTCCCTCGCAATCCGCCACCTCCTGCATCTTTCGTAGTTTGAGCTTTCCTGCGGGAGAGCGTTCTCTAAAATTTGTCGAGAAGTGTAGATAGGGACTCGGAAAATATAAGAAAGTGGCATAGACTGTCGACGGCGATGTTTCAGCTGATGATGGAGGTTTGGAGCAAGAGGAATTCTGTGTTTTTCGCCTACTTTTCCGAGTCGTTGCTCAGCATTGCATGAGGGTTCGTGCAGTTTGTGACCGCCGTGACACGTTACCTCACTATTTCCAATTTAGGCACCCCGAACCTGCACAATGCCATTCTCATACCACACGAAAAAAGGACTCATTGCGGCGCGGCAGGCTTATCTTGCATTTTGGGATCAAGTCTTTCAGATAGTTTACCAGCTGTCAGTTTAAGGTAAGCCAAAGACTGACCTACGGAATCAGGTTCAAGTTCCCGTCATCTTCCAAACCTTAGGTTCGACATCAGAAAAGTCACAAAACCGCTTTCACTGCTTTTGAAAGCGTCTTGCAAGAAGAAGAGCTGCCCCCCAATATTGGCCTCAAAGATGTCCATAATATCCAATCCCGGAGATCCGCTTTACTATCTAAACTACTAGTAGTCGGTCCATGGTATCATGCCGCCCTTATCGACTAAACAATGCTCCAGTTCCCGTCGGGCCACCGTCAAAAACAAAAACACGCGATTGAGGTCATCTCCGGCCCTCAATTCAACCCTCCAATAAAACAACTGGAACATCCTTATCTTTCGGCATCATCAGCAACTCCGCGTCAAACGCAACCTAGGAGTCGAACCCTCTCAGTCATCCATTTACTACACAAAAAAAGATTGAGAACCGTCACCTTCTTCTGTCGTTTAGCTGCGCGCAGCGTTCCATTCAGTGCTTCAACTTATTGCATGAATTGAATTGAAGTGAGCGCAAAGTCGATGAGTCGGGTCAAAAGCAGAAGAAACGCACGGGTATTCGCAGTCTTGTCAAACAACACTCCATACGCAACCGAATATTTCCCATCTGAATTGGTAGTTCCATGCTCTTTGATAGCATCTGGGCAAGTATATATTCAGCACTGGGCGTCTAGCGAAGACTCAGATACGAGCGGACCTTTCAAGATGTCAATCTCATGAGATGTGTTCAACACTGCGGACAAGTGAGCGAATTCGCCATTATTTTAGACTTGTCTATTGACGTACTTTCGTGCAATTTGGGAAACTTAAGGAGGCGTTTGGGTTTGGTCGATGTGGTATCTCATCTAATCTATCCCGGTCCGATCTGTCAATCACGTGCCCCACTTCACCTTCAAAATTGTTTCGCCTTGGTTTCGCCGCTTCCACCAAACTTCCACCACCCATCATGATTAAACCCGGGCCCCAATCGTCTACAGAGCCCCATGTTTAACGTTCCAACGTGTAACGCAGTGCCCAGCGCCCAGATTTTGTCCTAGATGTCGAGAACGTTGAAGAATCGGGTGATTCGCTTGGACTCTATGCTCGTCACTAAGTAAATGCATTCGTGAATCTGCCAAAATTTATAGTAAGTGATCGCTTCTGCTGCTGAATTTGCTCAATTCCTAAAAGGTCCCTTATATATACATACATAGGCATTCCCGAAGAGAATTATAAAATCCAACAAGTACGTCGTAACTATTATATTTATAAAGCGGGAATAAAGTGACCTCCTGCAGTAAGTTGTAGCGAAACGCCTGCCACCTTGATTAAAGCAGCGTCGCCACTGGTTGACCCACAAAAAGTTGCGGGAAACCCCCACTTTTGTGTGGGCACAGTAGCTTGCAGTTCATCTATCCTGTGTTCGCCTTCCTGGCTTCATATCGTGTTTTAGCCCTGTTGGCACACTACATCAACAGCGGCTATCAAGTTTTACTTGATTCAACATACATTGCTTCCAACAGGACTCCATGCTCCGAGTCTGTCTATGGATAGTTTAACTCCCGTTAGCCAAGGCCAGGCGATCACTGAAGTCAACACACCTGAGCTAAGTAGTGGGCGTTCTTAATGGTTGTGGTGTAATGGATAACCTCATCCCTGTACTCCGAGTCCCACAGGAACGAAAGCCAACCTCTATCCTCGATATTATCCGCCGACCTGTACGGACTGGTGAGTGTGCAATTCTAACCCAATCGAAATAGGGATCACTTGACATTGTTTCGCAAAGTATTTCTTCGCATCTAGCGAGAGTGCCTGGCGTCATAACATCATCAAACTTCTCTAAAATGTCCAGCGCTCTACTTTTCCGTTGCTTCGCCCGGAAAAGCCGGTTTTTTGGCGTCCACTTGGGAAGTTTTGATTGAACATCTAGCGGCGCCAAAGAACGTCCGAGTCGCTTCAATGTCGAAGGATCCGGAAATGAATGGTGGGTGACTGGCGCATTATGGTTGGTGATGGGCGCATTATGGTTGATGACGGGCCCGTTATGGTTAGTGACGGGGGCGTAATGGGTGATTGCGTCTCCACCAACGTTTGTGACTTGCGATTCTCCAGCAATTGTAACATTCTGGCTGTTGTCAAACATCACGAACAAAAAAAGCGTCCAGATAGTAAATGTAGGGGGATCATTACAGCCCATCGGCGTTCAAAAACGTGGATTTATATGCATCACTTAGCTTTATCGAGGTGAATCGTAACCAGGAATGCGACAGTTGCGCGTCAAGTTCATTGTTCTTAAATGAGTCCGCCAAGATTCCGCTGAAGACAACTGCCAACGGACTGAATTCGTTTTTGAGGGTCCAACAGGGTCCAAATGACGCCCAGGACAAGAACCCGGCAAGTCATTGTTTTTGGTTCCGTTTTGGTTCCGTCTGGTTCCGTTGATACGTAAGTCCGTCCAGGTACATATTAACACTGATGTATGGGGGTGTTTGGTCCTACCTACCTGTCGTCTTGCACCGACCTTATACCTTGTTATTGTTATACCCTCAGTCCCATGGCTGGAGACACCCTCTTCAAAGACGAGATCTGGTGGAGAGACCACCAAGTATGGCTCGACGAACGCGGCTACAAGCTTCGACCAAGACTCACTCCTGGTTGGGTTCCGTCTTGGCTCGGAAAAGGAAAGGGTGTTCGGCGGCATAAGTGTGAAGACTATCAATATGAAATGGTAAGGTCGTTTATCTTTTCCACCAGTTGCCTTCGTAACTTTTTGTGCAGCATCCCAGCGTACAGGATGCGCTTCGAAAAGACAACAATCAGAGGGTCATTTTGAAGAAGATCAACACAACCGAATACCCGAACGAACAAGGAATCGCAACGTACTTCTCCTCAAAAGAACTTGCGGATATACCTGAAAATCACTGTGTGCCGATATTGGAAATATTGCACATTCCGGATGAAGAGCATGTCATTCTTCTTGCCATGCCTCTGTTACACCATTGCTTGAAGCCACCTCTCGAGACGGTGGGAGAAGTCGTTGAATTCTTCAGACAGGTATTTGAGGTGAGCGCTCTAGACCCTTTTTGGAGTGAATGCTTATGAAGTTGCGTAAAGGGTATACATTTCATGCATCAACACAGAATTGCCCACCGGTACGCATCACAAGCTATCATATACCCGACGATATTTATATTCGCTTTGAAGTGACTGTCATGGACCCAACATTCTAATGAACGCTGACGCGATGTACCCTTCCGGGTTTCACGCTGTAAAGCAAGATATGCTCCCCAATTGGAAGGGGAAAGCGAAGCACTTTTCTCGCACAGAGCGCCCACCCAAGTATTACTTGATCGACTTCGGACTCTCGGTTCGCTTTGACCCTGACGAATCTGCTCCGCGGGCGCGAGTGATTCGGGGAGGCGACCGCGACTATCCCCCCGAACTCCTGGATCGAGATGTTGAATATGACCCATTTCCGACCGACGTCTTTTATCTGGGCAATATAATCAAACATGAATTTACAGAGGTGCGATTTTTTGACGATTGATTTTTACATCTGTCATTAATACTTTATATAAAGGGAAGTAGCCACATCCACAGCACGAAAAAATTGGGATTTGAGTTTCTGGAAGGCCTAGCTGCTGACATGACGAACCCAGATCCATTGAAACGACCTACAATGGATGAGGTCGTGAGTCGCTATCGAGAAATCCAGCAGGGGCTATCTTCGTGGAAATTGAGGCAGAGGGTTGTTCGTTCCGACGAGTTTTTCTTAACTGCACTATTCAGAAGTACAAGGCACCTGGGTAGAACACTGGTGTACATTGCTAAGCGGATTCCTCCGCTTCCCAGACAACAATGATAGTTGTTTGGGCGTCTTTACCTTGCTTGTCAAGGTCTATTTCCACGGTCATAATTATGTAATCCGTCGCACTGGCCCCCAAGGTACGTGAACAAAGGTACGACTTCATATCACATAATATCGAAGTCTGTCTAGGAGAGACTACCCCCAAGGTCATATCCATTTTATTACATCCGAAACGTAGTAGACCGGTCTAGACTGTACAGCATGTTGTATGGTTGAGCTTGCCATCAAAGCGTACCTCCCCAAGGTCATATCTCTATTTTATTACATCCGAAACGTAGGGACCGCTCAAGGGGTTTACAACCGAAAAGTCCGAGACGTCCACTACCCACGTAGGGATGGGAGGCCTACGTTTGGGGTCCTGGTCAGGGTCACATGCATCAGAGAAACAACCGCGTGTTATCTTCACGTGAGGCAATGCACTCAACAACATGCAATCCCACTATGATCAAAAACCATGCCGGGACAAGTGAAAGAAGAAGGAGCGGGAGCTAATAGAAAGTTCAAACAGAAGCCAGGCAAATGCAGCTTTTGAAAAGGTCTGCATCACAGACATCCACAGCCCCAAGACAGCCTTCACCCTCTAAAAAACATAGATAGTTTTATGGTTTCTTACCACAAATTCATGTTGGAATGCTTAGATAGTCAATGGACCAAAATTTCATGTATCACAACACAAATAGAATTGTCAAAAAATACCAATATGCAGCTCGATGGGAAGGGGAAGTCAAAAGATGAGCATTGAGCATCGAGAATATCATGATCTCGAGCGTTGTTGGCCGAGGGTGATGAAGCTTCTGCACAGATCACATTGGACGAACAGCTTACCGAGATCTTCCCCATGCCCCAGATAGACCTTAAGCGATTTGCGACTGCCATTTTTGAGAATGAAGTCTACGTGCTCGAGCGGATTGCTTTCAACTGCTATGACTACCTTGTTTTTCTTCTTTGGCATCGGGGTAATTGGCGGGATAAAGTGAGACAGCGGAGTTTACAGAAAAGCGATCTATGATATGAGAGAGGGAGAAGAGACGATTAAACGCTGAGCGCTGAACATTGAGAGACTGGATAACTTCCCATAAGGTTTAGAAACCTAGATTATTTTTCTAAACTGACATGCCGCCATGCCGTTTGCCAAATGGGTCACAATCTGTCAAAGTTGAACTCCACTTGTCATTGAACACCCTCTTCTGGATTTTAATCTAGACGAGGCCTCCCCCCCCCTCTTCTAGTTCTAAATCACTTGCATAAACCCTTTTTTCATCGTCCGACAATCAATCCCTGAGCATCCCGTCCAAATCAGACAAGGCATCAAGATCCACCAACATATGTAGCCGGTTTCTGAAGAACTATCCACTACATCTTTCTTGTATTTCTCGAGAAACAATAGGGAATCAAGAGTGAAAGACAATCAAGTCATTTTTCATATGAACCGGGTTTGTAGGACATTTTTTTTATCATGTTGAAGACGTACACTTCAAACCACACACTGAGGCATCCAATTGCACGTAAGTGCAGGGTGTCTTCATATTATTGGTCAGCTCTCCTCACTGAATTCAATATCAACTAAGGCTGGAGGCGCAGTGGGCACCTGTGGGCACGGAATGAGGTTCAGTAGAGAGATCCTAAATGAGATCCGTGTCACCAAAGAAGAATTGATTGCACTTGTATAGATCTGTATTACTTTGGCTTGTGGTTTAGAAAAACAGCTGAATATATTTTTGAACTCTGCCCATCAAACATTTAGAGAATAATCTAGGCTTCTAGACCTTATGGGAAGTTATCCACTATCAATTATCTCGCATCGCCTCGCTTATAAAAATAGCGAGCGCCATTTCCTGATATAGGTGACCCTGACCAGGACCCCAAACATAGGCCTCCCATCCCTACGTGGGTAGTGGACGTCTCGGACTTTTCGGTTGTAAACCCCTTGGGACCGCTCTAGACTTCAGCCCCAGTGAAAACCGGCTCTGTTACCAGCCGCAAGTATCTGCGGATTCCCGGCAGATATCAGAGATTGTCGGCAGAGCAGAAAGGTGCAGGTAGAATGGGATTTTGTCCCTTTTGCGGATTTTTTCCCGCGACTGTCTGCCCCTTTTTGACGAACTACAGCGTTGATTGCGGAAATTTCGGCGGCTACCCCTTCTAGTCTGCTCCCATCTGCATTTCTCAATCCTCACTTGTAGGTAGAATTTTTTTGAAATTGCTTCATATAATTTGCATATTAATACATATTTATTTGCGAATATCTGCAAATTTCTGACTGCTATATACCCAAGACCCCCACGACACGACATCTATCTCTGAAACGGAACCGTAACTAATTGCTGTCTCACAGCCGCTTCCACCCATCTGCTTGTGCGCATGTCTGATAGATAGATGTATTGATGTCGGGGGTCAGCATTGTAGAGGGGGGAGTAAAGAGAAGTTTTGAGTCGCTGTATATTCCGTCCATCAGACACACGAAACCAAATGGACAACAAAACGCACTCACAACTTGACCTCAAATATGGAACACACTGCAAAAGGTGCATATATGCACCAAAAACGGTCACTTAGACGACATAGTTCAAGGACAGGAGGTCACTTACTGAGGTATCAATAACGGACACCAAACGGACACGCTTCCTTGTACCCGGTGAGATTACAGTCACTCAAGCTCCGATAACGATACTCACAGTGGAGAAGTCATGCAGAGCCTATATGTTCACGAGAGGAATGGGTGGAATGGTGCGAAGCGCGACAAGACAGATTGGGGGAGATGGTGGGGGGGCAGGAAGAAGGAAGGAATAAAGGCAATTAGAAAGTGCTCTGAGATATATAGTCGAGCTAAAAGAATCTGGGGAAAGAAGTTTGAGGCAAGTCCAGAATGATGTCGTCCAATGGATTGAGGCTCGAGTTGGAGAGCGAGCTTGCAAGCTCGAAACAACTCAAGCAGGGGCTTTGTAAGCGCGATGCGGTGATGCCCGCTTCACCACGTTCCGTGGTGTTGACAGCCTTCTGAGGTCTGTGCGCTCTGAGGATAAAGTCCTTCGTGAAGCAATAAAAAAATTCCTGTCTTCTTCGCTTTCATTCCCATTTCCCCCTGTGAATTTTAGCCTTCACAGAATTTTTTCGATTTCATTCTAATCCATTAAAACTCAAAATGACTGACCTTGACACTTCACGTCCTCCTGCTGGTGCCGCTAACAAAGATGTCCCTTCTGACATGTCCAGTGTCGTAATTGACCCAGTCACTACCGACAACTCCATTGTTGTAACTCGTGTTACATCAGAGGAAGACCTCAATCGACCAAAAACTCCTCCCTCTGGGTCGGCTGCTCCCAAGATGACACAGATATATGCGGCCTTACAAGCTATTTCACCTGCTTCACAAAAACTTGTCCATGACACTCTCACTAATACTCTAAAAGATAATCCCCTCCCTGATGTCATCTCAGCTCCCAAACTCCTTTTTTCTGTCGCTAACGAGACCACCTCGACGTCCTCTTCTTCCAACACAGGCTACGGCATTCATCCTTTCATCATCTCTCTCGCTGAGAACGGTTCTCATATACCTCTACAGTAGATATTCTCACAATGCATATACTCGTAATGCATAAATCTCATAATGCATGACATTTTCAGGGGACCAACTTGGTACGTGGGGATTTATGCATGGAACGTCATATCAAATAATGCATATCATATTTTGGCATTATGCATTACCAGATCTACAGATTTACCAGGTATTTACCTGTTCACCTCATTGTACCTGAGTTTTTCAGGACCAAAGTCTACCCTAATATACCCTGCCACTGTGAATACACTGCTTGAGAGTAGTATCCAATTTTGCCAACACTTTTCTATCATTCTATGCCAGCTGCTGAGGAGAAGAAGCGGAAACCTCGAGACAGGCACAAGCCCTATGCACCTCACGGAGGGAATGGAGCTGTGCGAGCATTTGGTGTGTCATCCACTCAGAGGCTCGCGGCGTGTCAACACTGCTTTTGCAACAACAATTGCGCAAATTGAGGGCTCATCTTCAAGTGAAATCAGCCTGACAAACTACTCTCAACTCTTTTTTCAGTAGTAACCTCTCTCCCATGGATGTCGATAGCCTGTAAATATCCAGTCTTTCCAGTTTTCGTCTCACTACATAAAGGACATTTCGAAGTGTGACATTTTTTGGCTGAGGTCACAAATAGTCACATTTTGTGACATATTTCATCTTGCATAAATCTCACAATGCATAGAAAAAGTCGGGGACCGGCATTATGCATTGTGAGAATATCTACTGTATCACTCTTCACCACTTCCGCAACAAACACTTTACATACAAGCAAGGCTTCTATCCCGCAGAAAACGGTTATTAACAGGCTCACCAGTTTGAAGCGGCACATCATCGATATCAAGTTCTTTCAGGGTGAAGACTCTATGGACATCGGGGATTGGCACGAAGCATGGACCTGATATCACCGTTTCATCGAGACCCATGGTGACTAGGGAATGTCACGGGTTTACAAACCCGTACGGGTTGAGGTTGCGGGTGGGTACGGGTACGGGTTGGCATTTTCATACCCCAGCAAAACCCGTACCCATGACACAGGTGTGATGGGTGTGACATGTCAATCACGAACGTGTCACCTTGAGTCACCACGACACTCAACCACCACCACCATACCCTCCAGCACGGTTACCAGACAGTGTGGCATGGCAACAACAATGCAAAAGACTCGGATATGTTGGTCAGTAGTAGTGACACACAGACCACAGCAACGACGAGTCAAACACAATGGAATATGGGGGGGATAGACACAAACAGAGGTCAGGCTTACAAGGTGCGCCTGTGAAGTTCTCTTTTCTTTTTGTTTCCTGACTATTACAACAGCACCACGACAACGGCACCTGCCAATGGACACCTCACAGATCAACGCCAACACGGTCACATGCAGTTGCTCACCACCAACCACACAACACGATACTGTCAAAACACTGGCGCATGCCCTGTGCCCCAGTTACCAACAATGATGAGTCAAACATGATGGAACATGGGGGGGATAGACACAACCAGAGGGCGGGCTTACAAGGTGCGCCCATGAAGTTTTCTTTTCTTTTCGTCTACTGACTATCACAACAGCACAACGACGACGACACCTGCCAATGGACCCCACCTCACAGGTCAACGCCAACACAGTCACATGCAGTTGCTCACCACCACACAACACGATGCCGTCAAAACACTGGCGCATGCCCTGTGCCCCAGTTACCATTTCCTGACTTTCCGATCCTCGCAGGGTTGCACGGCAGTATCGATTGACACTTGCACTGCCTTTGCGAGGTTCATTGGTCATTTCTGGAGGGATACCCACACATGGGTTGGGAACCCCCAGGTTTTTGTAAACCCTCAACCCATACCTGCGAAAACCCACACCCATGGATGCGGGTACGGGTTTTGACGGGTATGGGTGCAGGTTACTCTGGAAAACCCCAGGGTAGCCCATGACATTCCCTAACGGTGACAAGGATTCGGCTATTCGATGGAAGAAGCACCATGAATTTTTAGCCGAACAGGACAACCTCAAACGCAACTTCGCCTCCATTCTCAAATTTGACATCGAAATCCGTACAAAATATAATCTAACACCAAGCCCTCACAACGAGGATTCTTACAGGTGCCGCTTCGAAGCCATCAAGCTTGAGGTGCTACAGGCGGAAATTCTGGCAGCGAAGTCGGTCTCGGATGCCAAATCAATTCACAACACTGCTTCGTCTTCTTCCTCTTGGAAAGGCAAGTCATGCTATGTGCCTTATCATCACCGCGACGCAGAGTCTTCGTCTCGTCAGTCTGGAAGTCGTACCGATAATGTCATCACAAGTTCTAGCAACAATTCCTTTCGGTCTTCTGGTGCTTCCTCCACCAATACTCCCATCTGCCTTATCTGTCAATGAGATCACCGTTTCGCGTCATGCCAAGAGTCGATCACGCAGGCTGGCAAACAGACGACGGCGAAATATGATAACCGGAAGCTCGTGCGAAGAAATGACGGAGGTATCATCTGCATCGCCTTCAATCTCAACAAGCTCTCTATCTGCTCCAAGTCTCATCCAGACCATCACATCTGCTCTTTCTGTGGCGCTTCCGATCACGGTGCCTGCTCTCGCAAATGCATCTAAACTTGACTCTTCTGTTTTATCAGCTCATCTCTCAGCTCATTTGTGCTCGCTACCGCTTCATCAATTACTTGAACATCTTACATTTAGTCCAGATCTCGTTATCAACGACCGCTCGCCATACTTCGACAATCTTCGTCTCGAATCTTCATCTCACGACTCTGACTCTGACTACTCTAAAGTCATAACTCCTTATAGCGCAGATGCTTTTCATGCCTATTTATCGAAAGCTCGCATTCTTGATCAATACCCTGAACTTCCCTTCAAATTGACTCACGGATTTCCTCTCGGAAATTTCGCCGATCTTGATATGTCTTTCACTCCTGGCAATCTCACCTCTGCATCTCCTCATGATCACATCATCCAAGAATATATTGTCGACGAACTCAAACTCGGACGCCTCTCAGGTCCATTCACTCAAAAAGAATTGGAAGCCAAAATTGGGCCATTCCGTTCATCACCTATCCAAGTCGTCGTCAAGCCCGGTGAAGCCGGCAAGCCTGATAAATATCGCTGTTGTCATAATCTCTCATATCGGGGAAACCTGGGTTTTTCCGTTAACAATGACATAAACTCAGAGGAGTACCCAACTAGATGGGGCACGGCATCTGAATGTGCCGAAATTGTAAGCTTCCCATCACATCTATCATTCTTTTCTTTTCTTTTATGACATTGTGCATCCATCTCCTCTCTTTCTGTTTTGGGCCTCGTTCGGATGCACTTCGTGACAGAGTTCACAACTCTTAGTTGCTTGAAGGACACAGACGATTTGGGGCTTATGTTTCTTCCTCACATTCTCTGATTTTCTGGCAGTCAAGGCTTACACGATGTATGTGTAGGTATCAGCAGCGCCTCCAGGAACACAGGCATGCACCCTTGATGTGGAAGGGGCGTATCGCACAGTTCCAGTTAGTCCTGTTTGCAAACGGTACCTGATCGTCGAGTTCAAGGGATTGTTTTACATTGACCACAATGTACCCTTTGGACTAGCCTCTGCCTCAGGTTTACAAGGAGAAGTCGCAGATGCGACGGTTGACATTTGGCGTAGTCTCCGTGTTGGTCCTGTTATCAAATGGGTTGATGATTTCAACGCTTTTCGTTATCCAACCAAGGTCGGATTATTTTCTGGAATTTCTGATGGGGTTGTCTATCGATATGACTATGATCTTGACTACATCAAAGCCATGATTGCCCCGCTTGGGATTCCGTGGCATACAACAAAGGGATCTCCTTTTGGAGATACCTTTTCTTATGTTGGTTTTGAATGGGACCTTGTCTCAAAGACTGTCTATCTTACTAAAGTCAAACGTGAAAAGCATCTCGCTAAACTTCTCTTCGTTCTACAGAACTCCCCCTTATCACAACGATTTTTCAAGAAAGAAATACAATCTCTGCATGGCTCGTTATCACACATCACTTTCGTCTATTCGCGTGGCAGAGCATACCTCAATAATATTATTTGGTGGCTCACAACTTTCACCAACGACTTCTCCCCAAGATTCCCTCCCCCTTCCATCATTTCAGATCTTAAATGGTGGTTAACTCAACTTTCCATGCCGTCTATCATTCGCTCTCTCGCTTCGCGCCCTCCTACGTCTGATCTCAATATTTGGGTCGACGCCTCAACAGACTGGGGAATCGGTTTGCTAATCAACGATTCGTGGGATGCATGGAGGACCTTTCCAGCATGGAAGGCTCCTGGTCGAGAAATTGGATGGCTCGAAGCAGTGGCTGTCGAACTGATTGTCATGCTTCTCAGTGAAATGCATCTCGCTCACCTTGACGTTCTGATCCGCAGTGATAACGAAGGTGTCATTGGCGCCTTCCGGAAAGGATGGTCAAGGAATCAAGAAACCAACTTGTGTATTCGTCGTGCAGAAGCCATTTTTGAGCAACGTGATCTTTCTATCTCTCTCTTATACGTAGAATCATCCATTAACTTAGCAGACCCCATATCTCGTGGTATCCTTCCACCTCTCGAGTGTCGAGTGAACATTCCATATTCTGTACCACCTCCAATTTCCGATTATTTCTATCATGCCTAGTGATCCTACTCTATCCGACTGCCTAAAGAATGTAGACGTACGTTCAGAATTATCAGATTTTTCAACCATCATGGATGCTCGCACCCCATCCTTGTCTCAATCGCAAACTCGTATATGGATGCCTAGGAAGCCTCGGAAGGGCAATGAAATAGCCCCCTCCATATATCGCCCTCACGTTGTTGCAAGCGAAAGACTATTGAAATGGATTTCTCCTCATACTCAGATTTTCCGAGAGAATATGCGAAAGGCATTGCCGGAATCACACCTTACACGTCTCTTCGAAGTCA